GCGCCCGCGCTCACACGGCCACGAGCCTTTGGAAATAACGGTGCGTGCGCGCGCACTCCTGGGGCCACGCCCCCATCGCAGATTACGTTTCGCCCGCGTTCCCGTGGCCACATGTCCTAAGCAAGTACGCGGTGCCCGCGCTCCGAGCACCAGGACCATAGAAAAGTATATTGTGTCCGCGGCCCTTAAAGATCCGTCGGGTTTCCTCGGTTTCCAACGGGTCCTTCAAAAAATCCCTGAACATTCCTGCGGGCTCTCCGAAGGACGCCGATGATTCCTGCAGGTTTACTGCCGACCCCCACAGATTGCACAGAGTTTACAGGGTTCCCCAGATGTTCTATTTCCTCTAGGGCCCTCCAGATTCTGGAGGATATTTTTTTTGAGAAATTGCATAATTTTCCGACAGGAATCCTGAACGAAATCTTGCGGTTTCCTGCAGGTTGCGGAAGGATCCCCCGTGAATTGCGCTGCGCCCGCGTTACCCGGGCGAAATCCTTGCAAATCGCACGGCACCCGCGCTCACAGGGCCGCGATCCTTGGAGAAATAACGGTGCGCGCGCACTCCCAAGGCAACGGCCCTTTTAAGTTGCGCCCGCGCTCCCATGGCTAGGATCCCTGATAAATTACGCTGCGCCCGCGTTCCCAAGGCGATGAACTATTGTAAATTAATTGTATCTGCGGCCCTGAGAAATCCGGAGGAATTCTTCAGGCAGGTTCCTGAGGATGCCTCAAGATGCCGACCGATTCCTGCGGATTCCTGTGGGGGTCCCGAAGGGCTCCTGGGCATTTCTGCAGGTTTGCTGCCGAGCCCTAAAAGATTAGTTTGGATGTCCGAAGGTTCCTCAAGTTGTCATCCCTCCCGCCCCGCGGGAATCAAGAGATTTAAACGATGTGCTAACATATCACGGGGGGGTTCATTGGATGGAATCCCCCCTCCAGAACGACTTGAGGGTTTCGCGGCTATTGATGACACTGGGGGGGGTCCCAAGGTTATCGACATCGCCTTTTTCCACCTTCTCCTTCGAGAAGCGCGTGCGCCCCTGGAGGGAGCGCAGGTCTGGGCAGCGAACTCTCTCTCGCATCGAAAAAGCATCAACATGGTGGCGTGTGGCGATTCTCGGCCCCTACCCTGGGGCAGGAACAGCCGGCGTCGAGTCGGAAAGTCGCTGTCAGGACCGGAGCGTGCATCGGATCTGGCTCCTATCGGCACGGGCTCGGGCATACTTAGAAACGGATGGGCCGCGCCCGGATGCGCGACAGCGCCATGCGGGCATCGGGCGGCATCGGGCCGTCGAAACATCGGAACCGACGCGGGCCGGCGGGCCGAAGCGGATCCACCCGGTCAGGGCGTGCCCCGAGGCCTCATGGCAGGGCTCCTGGCTCCCGGGAAGGAGCCAGGAGGACGTGCGATCGACTCTCGCGGTGCTGTGCTCCGTTCCTCCCCGGGAGGAGCAGGGACAATATCAACGGTACGCCGCCGTGGGGAACCCATCGGCGTGCTGCTGCCGAGGAGGCCCAACGGTGGCGTGCCGTCGATCTTTCCCTCCTCCCCTCCCGATCTTTCCCTCCTCCTCCGCTCCCTGGTGCTGCGCGCCTGGCTGCGGCTTCCTGTGCTCCCGTGGCGCCGCGAAGGGAGAGGGCGCCGCGAGCGAGGCCCCGGCGCCCCTCGAGAGAGCAGGTGCCCGGCGGAGCGCCGACGAGGGCGTGCACTCCTCGGCGGGCCTATGGCAGGCCGAAGGCTCTCCCGGGAGGAGCCGGGAGAACGAGCGGTCGAGAGCGTGCAGCGGAGGACAACACTCGGGGGCGACGAGGGGGGCGAATAGTCAAGGGGAGAGCATCACGTGTATCCAAGGGCGCCGGTGGTCCATGCCTTCGGCGAGGCTCCCGGGCGACTGGGAGTAATGCCCGCCCCTGGGCTATTCGCCCCCATCGTCGCCTCCGAACACACACAACCCACCCCCACCCCCAGCCAGGACCCGCACTCCCGACCTCGTGATACAGGGGCCCCTGGCTGGGGGCGAGGGTGGCTCTTACTTCTAATGAGACAAGACAACACACACCCAGCCAGGACCCCCTGGATTTCCAGGTCTGGAGTCGGGGTCCTGGCTAGGGGCGAGGGTGGGCTGTGCTGTCGTCAACAACCCTCGCCAAAATCATCAACCTCAAATTTGTCGACGCGCTTCAATCTTCGGCCCGTCAACCTCGCCCCCTTCAATGCCGAAGCAAACCGAAGCGCGGCCTGGGCCGGCGCGATTCGGAAATCGCACGCGAATGCCGGCGTTGGAGTGTGGGCGTCAACAAGTATTTTGCACGCAACGCACATTTAGATTACCAATGTTGACGAGGGTAGTAGGCTGACGGAAGCTCTCGAAGCTAGACCCCCCCTCGAGCCATGAAAGAGTCAAAGCGTGAGCGACGGAAAGGAAAGGGTCTTATGCACGATGGCACAGCGACCTCACGACGTGGCGTACGCGGGCCGCCAGCGTGGCACAGCGCGTGGAGAAGCTGAATTACGTGCGATCACACGCTCACGCAGGGGGGGATTTCGGCAATTTCCTGCTTCTGCGGCTCCATGCTGGGCCCTAGGACTGTCAACGAAACGACTTGAGATAAAGCGCCCGTCACCAGAAGGGGTCCGGACCTCCTGGGGGCCTCACTGCTAGCCCAGGCCCAGGCTGGCGGCGTCCATAAAGGAAGCAACCAAGGCATGAACATACAAACAATCGGAAGTCCGTGCGCCTTGCTTGGGTCGGGGCTGGACGACGACGACGACGACGACGACGACGACGACGACGACGACGACCACGACGTCGACCACGGCGGCGACGGCGACGGCGACGACGAAGACGTCGATGACGCCGGCGGCGACCCCGACGACCTCGACGACAACGGCGGCGGCGGCCCATGACCTAGATCCGACTTTGCGAAAAATGTGCCACATCGCCACAAATTGTGATCGGAGCCCTGGGCACCATCTTTCTGAAGCATTTCTCAAGCCGGATCAATCTGTGATGGTCTCGGGGCATGACAGCGGGCGAAAGTTTCCACGCCTGGATCTCAGGGGCGGGCGACGACGACGACGACGACGACGACGACGACGACGACGACGACGACGACGACGACGACGACGACGACGACGACGACGACGACTGCGGCGGCGGGCGACGGACGACGACGGCGACGACGTCGGGGGGTGGAATGCAAAAATGGTATTGATAAATAATGCTGGTAATACTGCTACTCCCCGGAATTCTCCCGTAGCGCGTTAAGACCCGGATTTCCAAGCAAATTCAGCGGTAACGGCGAGGGCCTCCAGGGAGGCCTACGAAGGCGAAAACGAGGCAAGTGCAGCGGCAATGTGAATCCAAAGCATCCGCTCCCGTGCCTTTGGCACGTAGTCGAGTACATCAAGGCTGATGTAGCTCTGCGAGGTAGAGTTAGGTCGGGCGTGTCCCCCTACAGGGGGATTTTGGACGGAACAAAAAAACAAAAAATACCCCCGAATGGTCAAAAATACTCAAAACATAGTCCCCATATCATGTTTCGACTCATTTTGAATATTCCTCCTGTAGAGGGACAGGCCCGACTCAAAGGCAGAGAGCCTGTGGTTTTCAAGGGTTCTTACGGGCCCCGACCCCCAGTTTCCCAGAGCGCCACTGCGCCCTGCCGGGGTGTGTCGCCTGAGCTTTTGCGACGCCAAGAGGGCCCCAAAACGGGCCAAGAGGATCCCAAGAGGCCCCGAAGACGGCCGAATTGGGCCCCGAGTCGTCGAACGATCGGTCCAAGACGCCCAAGATGGCCGCCAGACGGCCGAAGATGCCCCCAAGACGACCCAAGAGGCCTCCAAGAGGCACAAATCAGTGATGTTCCTTAGGTAATTTGAGCGGCTTTGGCGTTCTCGCCGTTTCGGCTTCCCGACGCTCCAGGACGGCCCAAGAGGCCCCCAAGATCGCCCCAAGACTGCCCAAGAGGCCTCCGAGAGGGACACAAAACGGCCCAAGATGGCCCCAAAACGGCCCAAGAGGCGCCCAAGACGGCCCCGGAGTCCTCCAATACGGCTCCAAGAGGGGGCCCCGACGGGGGACCCGAATGAACATTTCGAGCTCTCTGCCCCGGGAGGACCCCAGGTGGCCCTAAGAGACCCCCACTGGGCCGCAAAGATCCCCAAGAGACCCCCAGGAGGCCCCCAGGAAGCCCTAAGAGGCGAGGCCCTCAAGATGCCCCCCAGAGGCCCCCTAGAGGCCCCCAAGAAACTCCAAAACTGCTCCCAAGAGGACCCCGAGAGCGCCCCCATGAGATCTCAAGAAGCATCACTGAGTATTCTGACCCGCAACCCAGTCACGGTGGCGGGATAGGCCGAAGGCCATCAAATTGTTTGTTTTACCCCAAACACGTTTTGGCCAATACCAAAAAATGCGTGAGCGGCCCAAGATCGCCGGAACCACGTTTTCCAACATCTCGCAAGTAGTTAGCAGCAAAAACTGAAGCGCCGCATCTCCATAGCCGCCGCAGCCGAGGGGGAGCAATCCATATATATATATATATATATATATATATACATATACATATATACATATATGTATGTACACACATATATATAGTTATGTATATATGTATGTATGTATGTATGTATGTATGTATGTAGGTAGGTAGGTAGGTAGGTAGGTAGGTAGGTAGGTAGGTAGGTCGGTAGGTAGGTAGGTAGGTAGGTAGGTAGGTCGGTATATATATATATATATATATATATATATCGCCGCTGCGAGCGCTGTTCCTCCCCCAGGAGATGACGGGGTGGGGTCCTTCCTTTAAAGCTCTGGGGGTCACATTATTGGTACCTTTTCCTCCACTGAACGACGACGACGACGACCGCGACAGCGGCGATGACGATGACGACGATAATGACGGCGGCGACGACGACGACGACAACGACGACGATGGCGGCGGCGGCCGCGGCAGCGGCAGCGGCAGCGGCGGCGGCGGCGACGACGACGACGAGGCACCCGCAAGGTCGGCCGCGGCGGCCCCGGGCGACCACGGCGGCCGCCGCAGCCCTTCGACGAGGCCCTGCAGCGCCCCGGCGGCCACCGCCTCCATGACCACCGCGGTGGCGGCCACACACTGCGCGACGAAGTGGCCGCGCTCGCGGCCTCGGCCACTGCCACAACGACGATGACGACAGAGACGACGACGAAGGTCATGACGACGACGACGAAGAAGACGGCGACAACGGCGGCGCGACGACGACAACGACGACGAAGACCGCGACGACGACGACGACGACGACGACAGCCGTGACGACGACGACGAAATTGCTGCGATCGCGGCATCGGCGTCTGGCCCCCGGGCAACCTACTGGACGTCCTCGTCGTCGTTGTCGTCCTCCTTCTCCTCAGACCCTCGAGCCGTGAACAAAACACCACGACGAGAAATGTTCAGCCATTTTCGGCATCCTGGGGCCCTTGCCGAGCCCCAGAACAGTCAAACACCGACTCGTGATGAGAAACTAGTCCCAGGAAGGGGTCAAGAACTCCGGAAATCCCGTTTGGAAGAAATCAAAACGTCAGATGTCTGGGGTCATCGTCCTCCTCCTAATCGTCACGCTCCTTCTCCTCTTCCTCCTCTTCCTCCTCCTCCTCTTGCTCATCGTCCTCGACATTATTCTCCTCCTCCTCCTCCTCATCATCATCCTCACCATCCTCACGCTCCTCCCTGGCCATGTCGTTGCATCTGCTCCTTGCTCTCCGCACGGCACTGCCCCTGTCTGAGCTCGCACACGGCGCGACTGCACTGCTCGGGGCGAGGATATCTACACACGCATCGTTTTCCACGTCGCCGTCGTCCCTCGTCGTCGTCGTCGTCATCATCGTCACCATCATAATCATCATCATCGTCGCCGTCGTCGTCATCATCATCACCATCATCATCAGCAGCAGCTTCCGGCAGCAGCATCACCAGCAACATCATCATCACTATCGGCATCGTCATCATCATCAGAAGCATCATCATCAACGCTGTCGCCAGTATCGTCGCCACGCTAATAATACGAACCATTATCATCGTCAACATCCTAAGAAGCGTCAGCATCAGGATCACCATCAGCATCATCATCACTATCATTGGAGCCATCAGTATCATCACCATCATCATCAACATAAACATGATCATCATAATCAGCATCATCATAAAACATCATCATAAGCATCATCATCATCAAAAACATCATCATCCCCATCATCACCCTATCCCCCCAACCACCACCACGCTCATCATCAGCATCATCATCGTCATCATAATCATCCGCCATAATCCTCATCACCATCACCATCATCCTCACCATCAGCATCATGATCATCAGCATCATCACTATCATCATCAGCATCATGGACGTCGTCGGCCCCATAACCATCATCATCACCAACATCATCATCAGCAACATCATCATCATCACCATCATCATCACCAACATCATCATTATCGTCATCATCATCATCAGCAGCATCACCATCATCATCATCATCACCACCTCCACCACCTCCACCACCACCAAGATCATCATCATCATCAACATCAACAGCATCACCATCATCATCATCATCATCACCATCACCGTCATCATGATCAGCACCGTCCCCATCATTATCGTCGTCGTCACCATCATCATCACAATCAGCATCATCAGTATCAGCATCAGAAAGCATCACCAACATCATCATCAACAGCATCATCCTTATCGTCATCATCATCGCCAGCAGCATTGCCACCATCATCACCCCACCACCTCCACCACGACAAATATCATCATCATCAACAACATCACCATCATCATCATAATCACCGTCATCGTCATCATCATCATCGTCACCAGCATTATCGTCGTCGTCGCCATCATCATCACCATCATCGTCATCATCATCAGCGATAGCAGCATCAGCTTCATCATCACCAAACGCATCACCAGTATCATCATCATCATCGTCGTCGTCGTCGCCGTCGTCATAATCATCATCACCATAAACCTCATCATTTGCAACCTAATAAGCACCAGCATCTTCACCTGCACCAGCATCAGCCTCAGCATCAGCAGCATCATGATTAACACAATCACTAACATCATCATCATCACCATCACCATCACCATCATCATCAGCACCATCATCGTCAGCATCACCATCATCATCACCATCATCATCCCTATCATCATCGTGGTCGACATCGTCATCGTTATCATCACCTCATCCTCTGCCTCCTCCTCATCATCATCATCGTCACCATCATCATCAGTATCCGCATCATCATCATCGTCGTCATCATCGCAATGATGGCGAAGATGACCTGCTTGGCCTCATCGAAGCGAAGCGAAGCAGCCATACGCAAAGCGCGCGTGGGCAAGACAATTGGCGAGCGTGCGAGCTACGCCAACCGCGTTAGCTGGCGGACAGGAGGCGCCAAACGCGCGACAAGACAGACAGGTACGACGCGCCAAAGGCGCGCCGGGAGGATGAGGAGAGGAGGAAGATGACGACGATGTGAGTTTCAGCCAGGGCGCCCAGGCAATGCCACTCTTATTCAATAAATTTCTCTTCTGCGTGACTGGCGTCCTTTACGAAATTGAACACGAACGATCTCCAACGCATCGGGTCTGCCACTGCTGCCACGTAAGATTCCACAGTCTCAAAGTGGGGTCTCACAAGTTTATGTAATTCAGCCGCCCACTCCTGTTTGGGCCGCCCCTGCTTGCGCTCGCAAGCCCGCGTCGCGGGGAAGACGGTGTCCGGCTGGAACGTTGGCCCCCGCAGAACATGATCGTTGGGATACCGACCAATTTTCCCAAACAGTAATGGCTGTTGTTTCAACAATTGGGAACTGTACGGCGCTTGCTCGCTCTTTTTCAAAACGAACTTGTTGGAGACTCTGGATATGAATGCCGGAGGTATGTGCAAAATCTGTCTGACACACCTGGCTTGGAAGCCGTCCAACCGCTTCTTGTCAGCTCTGGTAAGCCACGCAGAACTGAGGGAGTACATGACCTTACTGGTGATCATCGCGTCGAAGATCATCCGCTTTCTCTTGACACCGATCGGAGTATGTTTCCAAATTTTACAATACCTTGAGAACTCGCCCCACGCCGTCCCCAATCTTCGATTGAGCTCCCCGGATATTCTGCCGGTGTTGCTAATTGTAGCTCCCAGGTAGACAAGACGATCTTGTGGCTGTATAAGCGCTCCAGAGGGCGAGTATAATTCTATGTCGTTCTGCACATGCAACACTTGGAATTTGCCCCAATGTAATTCCACGCCCGCTTTTCCTCCAGCAGTGGCGATTGCGCTCAGGAGCTCTTGCATGTGCTCTTGGTGCTTTCCAAAGATCAGAGTGTCGTCCGCATACAAAAAGACCGATACATGTCCATGTTCAATCGCTGTCTTGGCCGAGTCGCTCAACGTCGCGGATGCGTCTTGCATTGTCACTGTCATCACCATTACAAATAAAAACGGGGACAAGGGGCGCCCTCGCGCGATGCCAGACGTCTGCCGCCTCTCGCGCGACCTCTGACCCCATCGGCCACGCAGAAGCTCCTGTCGGCATAAATGCTCTCGGTTATTGCGAGAAGCCGAGCAGGGGGCCCAAACCTCTGCAGCAATACAAACATAGCTTCCACATAAATCGAATCGAATGCTTTTTTTCTATCTAGCGCAACGAAAGTGGCCCCTGATTTTTTCCCGGCGCTTGCTAATTCAATGCACCTGCGGACCGCGTGGACAGCGTCTGTCGCGCCCCGTCCGCGGCAGAAACCAAATTGAGTAGCGGCCAGCCGGTCTTCTGCCCCAGCGTCCTGTAGTCGCCGCAATAACAAACTTGCCACCATTTTGTACGCTACGCACAATAAGCTGATCGGTCTGTAATTGTCGCAGAGGTGCACTGGCCCTTTGCTTTTGTAAATCGTAGTCACCAAAGAATGCCGCCAGGCTTGCGGAACCGACTCTTCTAACCAGCATGCGTTGCATAATTTTGCGAGCTACTGTAACCCCCCGGGCGTTTGGGCAACTGCTTTCCAATACTCCGCCGGGATACCGTCTGGCCCGCATGCCTTTTCCCGCTTCAATTGTTGCACCACTTTTCCAATTTCCTGAATAGAGAACTCCCCGTCGTTCACTGGCAGCATCGGCCCCGAGGGCTCATGTGATATTATCTCCGCAGGCCGTACTTTCCATTGTACTTTTTGCCAAGAATTCTGCCGTGGTGTCCGCTCGTTTGTTGCTCTCCACGAACTTCCCGGCCACGTTTTGCAATCTCCCTTGTTTGCGTTGGCGCCCCCGGCAAAAGGCCCGGATAGCATCCCAATTTCCATTAGCAATGTGCTCTTCGGCCCAAGCCGTCTTATCCATTTTGCACGATTGCCGTACTTCTTTTAATAATTGTCTTTCCTCCTGCTTGTCGTCCGCCTGTCGGGCGAGAGTCCGCTTTTCTATCAAGCCAAGTGTGCGCTGACTAATCCACGGCCTTTTTCTTTCCGAGGGAGCTGATGGGAGCACGGCTGTCGCAGCTTGGGCTGCTCGCACACCTTTCTCCCACAAATCCTCTATGGATTCTGGGCAGCCGGGGAAATCTTCCAATGTTTCAATGAATGCTTCAGCGCAGTGTATTCGTAGCGTTTGGTCCCGGAGCGCCTCCCGGGCAGCACCTGGGCGCGGTGGTCGCCGAGCCTCCTCCGCGCACAGTGCCAGCGAACATGCGACGAGGCAGTGATCTGCCGCAAGAGGTATTTCCCCGCGGCTTCGCAGACCCCGCATGTGAGCAAAAAGGCGCGGGCATCGCGCAGAAGCAAATCCAGGATGTTGTACTGCTGTTCTGCAATGGTCCCGTTGTAAATAGCGCCAGCTTCCAGAAACGCTATTTTTTTCCTCCAGCGGTCCGTCGAGGAACGAATGGGCGACAACCAAATCAAGCCCATAGCACAATTCGATGAGCAGATCGCGGTTCGGAGCGCCCACTGGCTGCACGGCCTTCCGCCCCCAACCGAAATCCCAAATAATGTGCTCTTCTCCGTTGCATGCGCAACCCATTCTTGCATTGAGGCCCCCGAATATGACTTCCCCGCATTTGCGGGGCACGCCCTGTATTCGACATCGAGGTCATAATAAAATGCAAGCTTGTCCGGGGCAGGCTTCGGATTCGGGGGGGCGTGCGCGCAGAAAACACCGAAGAGGCCATTCATCGTGCGAATCTTGATCCAAGCGAGTCTGTCTGAGACCTGCTTGCACGAGTGGACTCGTGCCCATATTCTCTCTGGAAAAAAAAACCACTCCAGTGTGCGTTTGCCCGTCCCCTTCTGCACCTGACAGTGCCACGACATACCCGTTGAAGTTATAGATGTCTGATTGTTTTGCTCGCGTTTCCTGCAAGCAAAGCACTTGGATACCAAGGCTCTTCATGCGCACCGTAATTTCCACAAGTTTCTCTCCTGTCAGGCCTTTGACGTTCCACGTTGCAATATTGAATCCTGGGTAGTTGTTCTCATGGAGGCTGTTGCTCCTTGAGGGTGAAACTCTTCCTGTGCGCCCCTGGCTGTCAATTCGCAGGCTTTCCTTTGCCCGCTCCTTTGGACAGACTGGTCGCGCTCTTGTCCAGCCTGTCGGTTGTCTTCTGCTGTAGTTCTTTCCATTCTGGTGAGTTCTGCAGTTCCTCCCACGTCTCCCAAGAAGAATCCAGCCAATCCAATTTGAGCTTCTTTCCCACAACTTTTACTTGAAGTATCCCTTTGCCCCCAGCTTTAAGTACCCCGGCGTCGTCGTCGATCTTTAGGAACTTTTTGTCGAAGCCCCACTGCGTGAGCAGGTAGCGGAGGCCGAGAAGCAATGACGTAATGGCACGCTGCTCGATGGGGGCATCCGTGCTGCACCATGCCGGGCGGTTGCCTTCCCGAGGGTTCTGCTTGCCGCACGCCTCTTGGAGGACCGGGAGGGCGTCCAGAGATGCTTTCCCTGATTGGAACTCCGAGAACAACATGCCCTTGAATTTTTCTTCCTGAGGGCCATTTTTATAGCTTTTGAGTGGAAGTTCGCAGTGAGTTTCCTGAAGTGTTTTAGCAACCCATTGTTCTGCCTCGGTTACGGTTTTATGCGGCAATCCCCCAAAAACAAGTGTTGTGTTATCGTTCTGCCCCTGTGTCGACGATGGTGCGGCTGAGGTGGCGGAGCGTGGTGTGTGCGCATGCATCTTCATATCGGCGATGCCCTTCTCGATGTCGGCGATGCGCGGAAGGATGTCGTCCCCCACCTGCCTGTCCAACGGCGTGAAGTCATTGAGCAAGATGTCCATGTCCTCCCGGAGCTGCGTCGTCTCGTCCCGGATATCTTCCATACCAGTGTCCACTTTTTGCCGGAAGTCTTGCAAGTCTTGGCTCAAGCGTTGAACTGACTCTGCGACCGGGGCAAGGTACGAATCAAAGAGCGCTTTCATACCCCCCATGGTCACTGGAGCCTGAAGGTCAGCGCATGCTCCGGCCTATTGTCTTCAAACTTCTTCTGCCGCAGCGTCACATCATCGGGGCTCTGCAGCATGGGGCGCTGTGGGCTGTCTCCCACTCGCGCCTGCTTTAGCGCACTTCTCTTAGGAGTGAGTGCAAATTCTTCTGGACGCTTCCCCGGCTGCGCAAAGGCCGAAGATGCGTGTCCCGACATGACGGAAATCTGTTGAAATGTATTGATATAGTTATTCCACAAATGCCAGCACTGCTCACCAGCAGCGGGCCAGCCAGCACTGCTTGCCGAGCAGCGGGCCAGGCGGTGTGACTTTTGCAGACTGCGGAGTCGGTAGGAGCCCCAACGGTTCTTGAGCCAACGGTTCTTGAGCCCCCGCGCTTGAGCCAACGTCATAATCATCATCGTCGTCGTCGCCATCGTCATAATCATCATCACCATAAACCTCATCATCAGCAACCTAATAAGCACCAGCATCTTCACCAGCACCATCATAAGCCTCAGCATCAGCAGCATCATGATTAACACAATCACCATCATCATCATCACCATCATCATCATCATCATCATCATCATCATCATCATCATCATCATCGTCATCAGCACCATCATCGTCAGCATCACCATCATCATCACCATCATCATCACCATCATCATCGTGGTCGACATCGTCATCGTTATCATCATCTCATCCTCTGCCTCCTCCTCCTCATCATCATCGTCACCATCATCATCAGTATCCGCATCATCATCATCATCATCATCATCATCATCATCATCATCATCGTCGTCGTCGTCGTCGTCGTCGTCGTCGTCGTCGTCATCGCAATGATGGCGAGGATATCCTGCTTGGCCTCATCGACACCCGTAATCATCAGCATCCATCCTCTGCCCATCCCTCCTCCTCCAACTCTCTACTGGTCCCACCTCCTTCGGAAGAGGGAGCGGGAGGGAGTTGGAGGAGGAAGAGGAGGACGAAGTTTCCTGCTGCTTCAAGCTGCTTGCAGAGGAGAGGAGGAGGAGGAGGAGGAGGAGGAGGAGGAGGAGGAGGAGAAGGAGGAGGAGGAGGAGGAGGAGGTGGAGGGGCTTTCCTGCTCCCCCCCTCCCCCTCCTCCCTCGTCCTCAGGCTGCTGCTCCTCCCCCCCGTCCTCCTGCTCTTTCTGCACCTCCTCCCCGGCCTCCTCCTCCGTCCCGCCTCCTCGAAGAGAGAACGGCGAGGCTGCCCCGCGGCCCATCCGTGCGGGCCAGGCCCGTGCCTCCCGCGGGGCTCCCCCTCCCGACCAGCAGAAGAGAACGATACACGCTCAGGCACTGAGCGCGTCGTGCCGGCGGCCCTGGCCATACGTCAGGCCCCGCAGGCTGACAGCGATCCGCTCCGCTTCGCGAGGCGGGAGGCTTCGAAGGGGCGGAGGCGGTGACGCTCGGGGGCTGCCACGTGGATGGTGTGTCACGCCGAAGCGTGGCGGGCCGGAGCTGGCGGCGCGACACGCGGAGCCACACTCCCTCACCGTAAACACCGCCATCGGTCGGAAGACATGGACAGAAGCACGAAGCGGGAAGGCGCTGGAACTGGATTGGATTTCCGCCCGCCCCCTGAAGAGGATGGAAGAGGGAGAGCCGCTTGACTCTTGATATAGGAAGGCGCCTAAATACAGACGTTCACCGACCGATGGATCAGCTTTCGGAGATTCGCGCGGATTTCTTGGATCGGCGCTGGACCCCCAGCCCTGCGCGCGGAGCGCGCCTGGGGCGGCACTGGAGGCGCCGCCAGGGGGACCCAGCCTACATCCAAGAAATCTGCGCGGAGCTCCGAACGCTGATGTTCGTACAATATGTGATCCTTCGATGAAACCTCACGAGCGACGAGGCCAAGGGCGCCCTGCCCCCATTTCGCGCGCCGCCCATGGTGCGCTCCGCGCACCAGGGATGGGGTCCAGCGCCGACCCAAGAAATCAACACGCACCTCCGAAGACTCGTGCTTGTGCCGTTGCCTCTTCGCCGATGGACCAGGTGGTCCACCGGACGGGTTTCTCGTCGAGCGCGCGAAACCACTAAGGAGAATGTTCGTAGATCCACGAGCACTCCACGTGTTTTTTTTCGTAGACCCGACGAGAAATATACACTTTGGGGGTGCACCACCAGCTGGACTTCTGTTCAGAGCGTGGGGATCACGGAGCTCTCGACTCCCACTCTTCTGCATGGGCCCAGAGCTTCGACGCCTTGGCTTTCTGACAGCATGGACCCTCAGAGGTGTGGACCTTTGCCCCAGGACAGGGTTTTTCTTTCTTGCATTTGTTGTTCGATTATGTGCTGTTTCAATGAGCTTCGACGCCTTGGTTTTCTGACAGCATGGACCCTCAGAGGTGTGGACCTTTGCCCCAGGACAGGGGTTTTCATTCTGGGCAGTTGTTGTTCGATGATGTGCTGATTCAACGCTCGCGCAGAAATCGGACGGCCGAATTTCGAAACGGAAGATCTCCTACCATCCCGGGCCCACCCCCCGAAGCTCAACACTTTTGCCCACCTACCCTTGCGAAGCAGACTGGAAGTCAAGACCAATCATGTTTTACGAACAACTCCTGATGCTGGCGTCTTGTCGGTCATCTGCGACTACACCGCCATGCGCACACTCTCATCCGTCGCCTCCCCCTCCACAGCCGCATCCTTGGCCTCTGCATCCCCCCTGCTTCGCCTCCGGCCCTGCTTCGCATGCGCCATCTCCCATCGATCAGCCGCCTCCTTCGAAAAGCGCTTGGCCTCCTCCAGCCTCGCCCGACCAGCCTGCCTGGCCCGCGCCACAATCTCGTCAATCCAGTCCGCCTTCGCTGCCCCCTCCGTCTTCGCCCCCGCCTCTTCTGCAGCGATCGCCGCGATCTTGCGCTCGAGAAGCCTCTTTGGCGGCGCGCAGAGGGGGGTAGGGGGAGGGGGGAAGGCGTCTTAGGAGGCTGCTTCTTCGAAGGCGCGGGCCCTACACCTACGGACAAGGCCCGTGCCTTCTAAGAAGCGGGGGTGCTTCTAAGAAGCCTTCTCCCCTCTCCCTACCCCCCGCTGCGCGTGGCTGGCCTCCTCATCTCCGCCGTCGAGCTCGAGGTGGCCATGCTGTCTACGGCGGCGCCGCCCTGGAGATTCTGCCCAAGGGATGCCTGCACTCTCGTGGCCACCTGCTCGGCCCCCTGGAGCATGTCGAGCGAGCCCGCCGCGTCCGCTCGGACGCGGGTCCCCGCCCGCTCGGCGCCGAGCTCGCCCCGCAGGCTCTCAGACTCGGCGCGCAGGGCGGCGAACTTTTCGATCCGCTCGACGCCAAACTTCTGGACATCAAGCGCGCGGCAGCCGCTCAGCGCAACCAGTGCCACGGGCAGCAGCGCGCCACTGCGCACCATCTGGAGGACAGTATCAGAGGTACGTCGTGCAGTGATTACTCCAGATTTCGTAATAAAAGGGAGGGGGTCTGGACCCTCCAAGACAAGCCATTTCAGACCTCCCCCGTGGGAGAACCCTCCAAAACATCGTCCCCAGACCCCCCAGGCCCTCCAAGATAGCCTGGAAGAGACCCCCCCCGAAATGAGACCCCCCTCCCTTTATTACGAAATCTGGAGTACGCAGGGGGTCAAGGGAGCGTGTGGGCCTGCAGACCCTCCGAGCCCTGAGCCAAGGCTACGGACTCGTCCTGGGCCGTTCTTTTGACGGCCCCACGGCCCGGCGAAGCCCCCGGAGGTCCGAAAACGGGCCCTCCCGTAGGAAGGCACCAACTATACACCAACACCGATCCTGGCCAGGATCACCCTGGGCCCAGGATCGGTGTATACGCCCTCCTGCCTTGCGCAAGAAGGCATATACACCGATCCTGGGCCCAGGGTGATCCTGGGCCAGGATCGGTGTTGGTGTATAGTTGGTGCCCTCCGATCCCGTCGAGACTTGTTCGCGACCAGCGGTGCTGGGGGGGAGCGCGCGCTGCGGCTCCATGTGGCGGGCTCCCAAAAATCCGGAACCAAAAAACCCTTGCCATCTCTTGGGAAGCCGACTTTTACTTCTGCCGGCTTCTGCCGAGTCTCCGCCAGCGGAAGCGGCCTCGTTTCACTTCCGCGGGCTTCCGCGGCCCTTCCGCCGCCTTCCGCCGAGGAAGACATGCCAACCCCTTCGATCCTCGAAGGCGGAGCCATTTTCTGGGGCCAGTTCTGGAACGCCTCATCTGGACGCTGCGAGGCCAGAAGAGCGGGCGCCCGCCGTCCTGCGCAAGTCCCAGCCCAGCACGTGTTGCCCCGTCGGAGAAAAGGAGACGAGAAGAGACGAGCGGCGCAAGGACCGCTCCTGGATTCGCCCGCGACAGAAGGCAACATGCTACAGCCGGACCTAGGCCAGAAGAACATCCTTCAAGAACATGAGACCCTCCGCCCGCCAAAACACCCCAAACCATCCGAGGGTGCCCTCCCCCAGGATGCACAAAAACATCAAACAAACACGAACATTAGGCTACCCTCCCCGAACAGACCTCGATCTGATACCTCGGTCCGACTGTGTGAGCCTCCGACAACATCTCCCCTCTCGTCCCCAGACCCCTCGGGTCACGAAAAAATTGCGACGGACGTCTGTTCCGTATTTTCGGGCTCTGGGGGCCCTTACCGGGCCCCGGGCCGTCAAAAAAACAACTCAGGATGAAAAACCGGTCCTGTGGAAGAGGCCCAGACCTCTGGGGGTCGACATTGTGAAAATCACGACGTCGGGAGTCTGAGTCTCGTCCGCCCCGAGCCTTCCCGGAAGAGGCCGTCCTCCTCGTCATTGCCCCCCAGGACTCGTCGGCATCCGACCGGGGAATCGGATCGAATCGGATCGTCCGCGCCAGGATACGCAGCAACGCCGTGCAAGCATCGGGCTGCGCCAGACTGTCGGAGGATCGGAATGAAATCGGACGGGGCAGGCCGACATCGATACCCAATCGGATCGATCGAGTCGGCATGGGCCCTGATGTGCGGAACCTCGACACCGCAAAGGACCCCCTAAAACTTCTGGAGAGGGGGTCCAGCGGGCACTCTGGGGACTGTGGGGCTTTAGGAAGACGAAGACCCCCCCCCACACCAGTCTTCTCCCGGATGTCTCCGCTGGTCTCCAGCATGAGGTCCTCAGAGGCCTCCGGAGCGCCTGAGGCCTCCAGAGGATTGAAGAGGACCCAAAGAAGCACAACAGCTCGAGGACCCAAAGGCGTACCAAGCACTCCAGGATCTGCGCGCCAGAATCTTGCCTGGCGTTGATGCTTCAACCTACTTTAGCTTGAACCGCCAAAAATAATTTCTAGCACCAAGGAAATACCGAAGCTCTGGGGTTTGCACGAGTCGGCCCCGGGGAGACACTCGTTCGACACGACACTGTTTCGAGACTGCTTCGACACTTTCCCAGGTGCTCGAAACTATGTTTGGGACGTGGCTCTCAAGTACGACGGGAGCAACATTAGCCTGGCGGGCGCTTAGGCCCGCGGCACAGCCGGTCCACGCTGGGCACGAGGGCGCCGTCGAGGGCGGCGATGAGGCGCCTGGGCTCCTGGAGCACGGGCGGTCGCTCGGCCAGCGCGCGAGGCCCGACTCCCTCGCCTCTCTCCGATGAGCAACGAGGCCACATGCGAAGCCTACACTGCTCGCCCTGACCGAAGGAACGATGAACACAAGGAACGAAGCCCCTGTGCTCCAAGGAAGTCTAAGAAGTCCGAAGGAACACCAGGGGGGGCTCGCCGCCAAAAAGGCAGCGGAACGCATGCAAACCAGAGGAACGACCGAGCCCCTTTTGAAAAATAAGTGTTCCTTATTCTAGCCGGACCCTGTACCCATACCCCCCACGATTTCTGAGGGGGAGGGTGGGGTTCACTTCGTTCGGGAGCTCCCGAGCAAAGTGAGCCCCACCCTCCCCCTCAGAAATCGTGGGGGGTAGGGGTAGGGTTCGCGTGTGTTCCCCTAAACGGCGCGATGATGACAAGCACGATGTGAAATAATAGTGTTTACTTCCTGCTGCTGCTGCGACCAGCTCGTGCCAGAGTGCCGGAGTGGGGTTGGGCGCGAGTCAAGGGGGGCGATAAATGGGGAGGGGAGAAGGGTGCCCGCTGGGGGCCCTGAAGGGCCCCTTCTGGGGCCTGAAGGGCCCCTTCAGGGGCTCTCAAGGGCCCATTTTCTGCAGCCCTCGCGGCCCTCCCATTTATCGCCCCCCCAATCACGCGCCCACCAGTGGGGCTCGTCCCATTCTCCGACGGACCTTGATTCAACCTTAGCACGGACTGTTGTGGCACGGATTGTATGTTGTCAGCCTCCCCTCAGATCCGGGCGATGCAGCTTGTTATCACAGAGGGCGCGTTCGGCTGGTCTCAGGCCCGAGGAGCCTCGCAGATCCATCCAGCTCGAACAATGACGCGGGATGATAGGGGTCTAGGGCTCCAGGCACGATGATGATGACAGCGAGGGGGGCGAGGCGCCAGCGGCAGCAACGTGTGTTGGAGCCAACGTGTGCTTGCCCATCGCGACCCTCAATACGACGCAAGTAGTGTATGGAATCATCTATCGGTGGAGCTGAACGGGGTGAACGCACAGTGGTCTGACATGCGTCCTTCGGGGGAACGTTGAGGGCCTCCGAAGGACAAAAGTCCGCCGACCCTGTCGGCGTGTATGCGACGTCTTTCCGTTTGAGTCGTCGTCGTCGTCGTCGTCGGCGTCGTCGTCGTCAGGCCTTCGCAATAGCCAAAAACCTTCCGCTCCAAATTTTTGTCAGAGCCTCCAATCCTAGGGGCGGCAGCGGCGCCAGCAGGCCCACAGACGACGACGACAACGACGACGAGAACGAGGACAAGGACAAAGGACGACGACAAGGACGGCGACGACGACGATGACGACTGCGACGACGACGACCTGAGGGAGGAGGAGGAGGAGGAAGATGAGGAGGAAGAGGAGGAGGAGGACCAGTGCAAACCCAAGAGTCACCAACGATGTTGGAAGAAACCCTCCCTCCAAGCTCCCTCTGAGAGAGCGCGCCCACAGCGCCGGAGCAAAGGGGGGGGTCCCCCCTTAGCTAGCTAACCCCCCTCCCTTCCAGCTCCCCTGCTGGAAGCTCCCCACCCCCTCCCACCCTTTTTCGCCTCCCCCCTGAAGCTACTCCCCCACCACCCACCTCCCCCCTTTTCGCCACTCCGAAGCTCCCCCACCCCTTCCCCCCTTTCCAAAGGGAGGGGGGGCTTAGCTACCCCCTCCCCCTCCCCATTGACCCCCCTCTGCCGGAAGCTCCCCCCTTGACCCCCCTCTGCCGGAAGCTCCCCTGGGGGCTTAGCACCCCCCCCCCCCTCCTCCCCTTTCGGCACCCGGTAAGCTACCCCCCCTCCCCCCCTTACGAAATGGGAGGCGAGCTTAGCTCCCCCCCCCCTCCTTTGATCCCCCTCTGCCGAAGCCCCCCCCTTCCCTCCATTGTTCTCCCCCCTGCCGGAAGCTAACCTCCCCTCACCCCCTTTCCAAAAGGGGAGGGGGGCGGCTTAGCTACCACCCCCCTCCCTTGAACTCCCCCTGCCAGACGATCCTCCCCCGTCGCCGTCGTCGTTGCCGTCGCCGTCGCTCGACGTCCTCGTCCGAAAAAACGAACCAGAGCCAAAGAAAACGAGACCACGACCCAGGGGCAGAGAAAACGCGAAAACGAACCAGGGTCCGAGAAAACGAAACCACGACCCAGGGGCCGACAAAACGAGACAACGAGAAAACACATCAGTGCCCGAGAAAACGAAACCACGACACAGGGGCCGAGAAAACGAGAAAACTAACCAGGACCCGAGGAAGCGAGAACACGACCTCAGGGCCGAGAAAACGAGAAAACGAGAAAACAAGAAAACGAACCAGGGCCCGAGAAAACATGAAAAACAGAAGCCGAGAAAACGAGAAAACAAGACAATGAACCAAGGTCCGAGAAAACGAAATAACGACCCAGGGGCCGAGAACACAAGAAAACGATAAAAACTAACCAAGGCCCGAGCAAACGAGACCACGACCCAGGCCGAGAAAACGCGAATATCGGCCCGAGAAAACGAGACCACGACCCAGGGGCCTAGAAAACGAGAAAACGAGAAAACGAACCAGCGCCCGAGAAAACAAGACTACGACCCAGGGGCCGAGAAAACGAGACAACAAACCAGCGTCCGAGAAAACGAAACCACGACCAAGGGGCCGAGAAAACAAGAAAACGAGAAAACGAACCAGGGTCAGAGAAAACTGGACCACGACCCAGGGGCGGAGAAAACAAGAAACGAGAACACGAACCAGGGTCAGAGAAAACGAGACCACGACCCAGGGGCAGAGAAAACGAGAAAACGAGCCAGGGTCAGAGAAAACAAAGCCACGACCCAGGGGCAGAGAATACCAGAAAACGAGGAAAACGAGAAAAAAACAACACGGTGTCCGAGAAAGCGAGATCACGACCAAGGGGCAGAGAACACGCGAAAACGAAAAACAAACCAAGGTCCGAGAAAACGAGCCTACGACCCAGGGGCCGAGAAAACAAGAAAACGAGAAACCGAACCAGGGACCGAGAAAACAAGACCACGACCCAGGGCCCAGGGGACGATGAAACAAGAAAACAAGAAAACGAATCAGGGTCAGAAACAAATCGACCCGAGGACAGAGAAAACGAGAAACCAAGACAACGAACCAGCGCCAGGGAAAACGAGACAAAAACACAGGGGCCGAGACAACGAGAAAACGAGAAAACGACCCAGGGGCCGAGACAACCAGAAAACATGAAACGAACCAGGGTCAGAAAAAAAAACGATACTATGATCCAGGCAACGAAAAAAACAAACCAGCGTTCGAGAAAACGAGACCAAGACCCAGGGGCAGAGAAAACGAGAAAACGAGAAAACGAAGCAACGACAGAGACAACAAAACCTCTATCCAGGGGCCGAGAAACGGAGAACACGAGAAACCGACCCAGGGCCAGAGAAAACGGGACCACGATCGAGGAGCCGAGATAACAAAAAAAACGAACCAGGCTCAGAGAAAACAAGGAAACAAACCAGGAGCCGAGACAACGAGATAACGAGACAATGAACCAGGGTCCGAGGAAACATGAGACCACGAACCACGGGCCGAGAAAACAAGAAACCGACACCACGAACCGGGGCCCGAGAAAACGACACAAACACCCAAGAGCCGAGAAAGGAGAAAACGAGACAACGAACCAGGGCCCGAGATAACGAGACCACGACCCAGGGGCCGAGTACACTAGAAAACAAGAGAACGGAGAACGAACCAAAGTCCGCGCAAACGAGACCACGACCAAGGGGCAGAGAAAACGCGAAAAAAGAAGCAAGGTCCGAGAAAACACCCCGAGAAAACGAGACCGCGACCCAGGGGCCAAGACAACGAACCAGCGCCCGGGAAAACGAGACAAAAACACAGGGACCGAGAAAACGAGAAAACGACGCAGGGGCCGAGAAAACGAGAAAACGAACGAGGGCCCGACGAAACCACGACCCAAGGTCCGAGATCACCAGAAAACGCTTGGTTCGAGAAAACGAGACCACGGCCCAGGAGCCGAGAAAACGAGGAAACGAGAAACCGAAGCAGGGTCAGGGAAAACGAGACCACCACACGTGGGCCGAGACAACGAGAAAACGAACATCCGAACCAGCGTCCGAGAAAACAAAACCAGACCCAGGGTCCGAGAGAACGAGACCACGACCCAGGGGCCGAGAACACGAGAAAACGAGAACACGAACCAAGGTCAGAGAAAACGAAATCGCGACCCAGGGTCCGAAAACACGAGAAAACAAGAGAGCAAGCCAGGGGCTGAGAAAACGAGAAAACGATACAAGGAATCAGGGCCCGAGAAAACTAGACTACGAACCAGGGGCCGAGAAAACGAGACAACAAGAAAACGAACCAGGGGTCGACGTTATTCTCCAATGCGTTCTCTAGCGCTGCGATGCGCACCTGTCCTTAGGGATTCAGCCATTTTGCCATAACCCCGAAGAGAAGGGGGGGTAGCTTCGGAAGCCGAGGGGGGTAGCTTGAGACCGCCCCCCCCCTGCGTCCAGACCAAACAAGGAAGGAGGGGGGGTAGCTTCCGAAGCCCGGGCTCACCTTCTGCTCCGGAAAAAGGAGGGAGGGGGTGGGTTAGCTTCAAAGCACTCCCCCCTTTAGCCAGGACTCCCCTAGCTTAGAAACCCTCACAGAAGGGAGGGGGGGTACCTTCGGAAGCCCCCCCCCTTTTGGAAGGGAGGGGGGGTAGCTTGAAGCTGGGGCCCCCCTGTCCTTATTCCCGGCGCTGCGGGCGCGCTCTTTTCTCCCTCTTCATAAGCCCCTACAGCGGTTTCATTTCCACTGAGGGAACTGCCTTGTTTGAAGACAACCGTTTGAAGGCCCTGAAGCATGCCAGAACATGGTTCTCGGGATTCCAACGCCACAGATCATCTGGACTGCTGCGTCTTGACGATCCCGAGTCGTGCCAGAACGCCATTCCTGGGCTTACAACACCGCGAATCATCGTAACTGTTGCACCCTCATAATCCTAAACCATTCCTAGACAACACTTCTGGCACGTTGACGGTGGGAATCCGAGAGACCTTGCAAATGTATTAATCGAATGTGCGCGGCGCTGAAGCGGCAACCGCATGTTGAAAAGGAACCGCCCTCAATCCGCGAAGCTCTTGCCAATTTCTAAGACGGATGTGCGCGGCATTAAGTCGAGAGCCGCATTTTGAAAACGGCCCGCACTCAACAAGTGAAACTCTTGAAATGTATTAAGACAAACGCGTGCGGCGCTAAGGCGAGAACAACATTATGAAAACGGCCCGTTTTCAACCCCTGAAGGTCTTGCAATGTTTTGTAAAACGATTGTGCGCGGCGCTAAGGCGAGAGCCACATTATGAAAACGGCCCGCCCTCAATCCGTGAAGCTCTTGTAAACTTTGAAAACAAATTTGTGCGGCGCTGTGGCGAGAGCCACATTTTGAAAACGGTCCGCTCTCCATCTGAGAAGCTGTTGTCAACACTTCAGCCTCAGGGTCATACATTGTGAGGAATCTCAGGCGAAACGCCCCGCAAGCCGTACAAACTGGCCTCGAAGTGCGACAGGGAGAAGTTATGTATGAGGAAATGGAATGGAGTAGGAGGAGGAGGAGGAGAAGGGAGGACGAGGAGGAGATGGAGAATGAGGCGGACCAGGAGGAGGGAGGATGGGGAACGGAGGGAGGAGGAGTCGGGGGATGAGGACGACCACGAGGACGAGGACGACGACGACAACGACGAGGACGAGGACGAGTAGGAGGACGACGGCGACGACGACAACGACGACGACAACGACGACGGCGACAACGACGACGGCGACAACGAGGACGAGGACGACGACGACGACGACAACGACGACGACGACGACTGCGACGACGATCTGAGGAAGGAGGATGAGGAAGAGGAGGAGGAGGAATGATGGGGAGTAGGGAGGACGAGGAGGAGGAGGAGGAGGAGGAGGAGGAGGAGGAGGGTTAGAGGGAAGAAGAGGAGGAGGAGGAATCGGAGGAGGAGGAAGAAGAGGAGACATAAGGAGAGGAGCGGCAGGAGCAGGTCTCCTGGGGGTCCTCCAGCGCCAGAAGCAGGGCCAGCAGCAACGCCGCCCGAGCGCGCAGGCCCGCGCCGTGCCGCGGCTGCGACGTGGCGGCGAGCAGCAGCTCCGCGGCGTCCTGCGGCAGGGCCGCCTCCGCCCGCTCCTCGAGGGAAGATGTTAGATTGTGCACGAGAAGAAACTTCAAACCGGGTTCCGCCCTGCTGGAGTCCATCAGTCTCTATCCATGTCCCTACTAGCGCCTACTAGCGCGCATTAGCGCCCGTTGGCGCCTAGTAGTGCCTACTAGCGCCTACAAGCACCGATCAGCGACCACTCATAGTACTCAATGTCAATAGCTTGGGAACGACAACAACTCATGCTTAAAATGACTCTCACGAATCACAAACCTCAGGAAACGTACCGATCCCGTCACCGTGCTGCGAGGCACGAGTCCCAGATCCCCTCGGGTCAGGACAAGCATCACGACGTTTGTGTTCCGCCATCTTCTCCCTCTGAGGGCCCTCGCCAGAGCCAGGGGCCGTCAAAAAACGGCCCGGGATTAGAAGATGGTCCTGGCAAATGGGTCGAGATCTCTGGGGGTCGACGTCATGACAAAATCGTGACGTAAGTGGTCTGAGGTTGGAGCGCCGCTGCATGGAAACAGGTAGACGTCCACGTGGCCCTTCCCCTTGACAACAGAACGAACTTTGGACTGATGGGTGCCAGACCCACAAAGGCGGCGAGCCCGGGGGTGAAGTGAGAGGGGGCAAACCTTCTCAGAAGGCGACGGGGTTTCTCAGAAACCCTCTGGCCTTCTGAGAAGCCGTCTGCGGTTTCGGGGAAGGTTGCAAGGTTTCTCAGTAGGCTGGAAGGTTTCTGAAAAGCCCCGCCTCCTCCTGAAAAGACCCGCCCCCTCTCGTTTCCGCCCGGGCTCGCCGCCGATTGCAGTCTTCAGTCCTCAGTCTTCAAGGTTGCAAATTCATGAGCATCGGGTCCCTTTCGTGCCGCGAGGCGCGAGATGGAGTGCCGCTGCTTGGAATGAAGTAGGTGTCGGGGCGGCAATTCCCGTTGTCACCAATTTTGAAGTGGACGGATGTGTCACCAACCCACGAGGGCCGCGGGACAAGCGATCTCCTCACAGAGCAACGGTCGGGTTGGAGCGCCCTTCTCTGCCATCCCCAACCCGCAGGATTGAATCCGATGAGGGGCCGAGGCCCCAAATGTTCCAGCATGCCGGTGTTCCCCGCGTCCCCCCCGCAGTTCCCCAGCACTTGCCGCATGACGGGTTCGGCACCGACAGCGCCCCAGAACGGGCCAAGAGGATACTCCAGATTCCGTAATAAAGGGAGGGGGGTCGGGTCTCATTTCGGGGGGGGTCTCTTCCAGGCTATCTTGGAGGGCCTGGGGGGGTCTGGGGACGATGTTTTGGAGGGTTCTCCCACGGGGGGGGGTCTGAAATGGCTTGTCTTGGAGGGTCCAGACCCCCTCCCTTTTATTACGAAATCTGGAGTGCAGACACGGTGGCGGAATGGGCAGAAGACAACTGCTACCTATGCCGATACCCTTCCCACGTGTCCACCTTTTGTTTCCCAACAGCGTTTCGCCAGAGGGCTGCAATCGTGGAAGAGCAACAGAAGACTCCCACAAGGGGGGCGGGGAGCCGAGACCGCCAGGTCCAGCAGCCGTTTCGACGGAGGCTTCCCCGAGAATTGCTCAGGCATCGTGCTTTCGCCCCAAAACTGGCTACATGTGCTGGCCCGGGCGGCCACGACCGCTTGTTGCAGACGCGCTTGAGGTGCACGCGGCTACGTTCCTGCTCCTCGCCCCGCCCGTTCGCCTCTTGCTGCTATTGGGACGTTCTCGTACAGTCGTCGTGCTACCATCAATGAACGCGTCATAAGGAACGCAAGGTTGTTCTGGCCACAGCAGGCCTAGGCCACAAACATGCCCCATGACAGAAGTCTAAGTAAGGAGCGGCCCGAAAACCGGAGCTCCTCCTGGGCCCCAAAGGGTCCTTATGGCAGCGCCTTGACTGACAGTAGGCCTCCTGTGAGGCCCTCGTCGCCACGGCAGGACTCGCCTCGGAATCTCGGCCAGAACACAGGCTGGGGTGGGACCCAAGGAGGAGCGGCATCGGTACAGTCGAGGCGTGGACCTAAGGAACCCTAAATAAGGAACGAGGCCCCTTTTCTCCATAAGTTAAGCTTCGATTTCCCATCGAAAACATAAGGAAACCCTGAGGTAAGCTGTCAAACAATTACGTAAGGAACACGGAGCCCCTTCCACAACGAAAAGCGTTCCTTCTTCAAGGCCCCGACGGTATCTGTTGGCTTCTCCTGGGGGGGGAGGTAGGAGGAGGGAGAGAAGGCGGAGCGTGGCCAGAAGAAGTCTGTTTGACTGAACGCCGCCCTATCCGCTCTGATCCTCGCGCCTCTTGTTGATTAGATTGTCGAAGGCCACAAAGGCGGAGGGGCAGGAGAAAAAGGAGGAGGAGGAAGAGGAGGAGGGGGAGGAGGAGGAGGAGGAGGAGGAGGAGGAGGAGGAGCAGGACGACGATGAGGAGGAGGAGGAGGAAGGGAGGGGGAGAGGGAGGAAGAGGGGGAGAGTAGGAGGAGGGAGGAGGGAGGAGGAGGAGGACGAGGACGAGGCGGAAGGATGGGGCAAGGGAGGAGGAGGAGAAGGAGGAGGAGGAGGAGGAGGGAGAGGAGGAAGAGGAGAAGAAGGAGTAAGTGGGGAGAGGACGAGGAGGAAGAGGAGGGAGGGGGAGGACGAGGAGGAGGGAAGGAGGAGGAGGAGGATGGAGAGAAGGAAGGAGGAAGAGGAGGATGGAGAGAAGGAAGGATGAGGAGGAAGAGGAGGAGGAATGAGGGGGAGTAGGGGGGAGGAGGAGCAGGAGGAGGAGGAGGAGGAGGAGGAGGAGAAGGGGGAGGCAGAGCGCAAGTGGCCCAAAGAGAAGAGGCGGGCGGACAAGAGCAAGATCGAGAAAAGACAGTGGAGATCTTCCGTGAGCCCCTAGGCACAGCGGCCAAGCCTGGGCGCCGCCGCTGTAGCTGCGCAAGCCAGGAAGCACCTGCCTTCGGGAATTGCCCTCCTGTGAGGCCTCCTTGATGGCGGCACGCGTGGTGCAAAGTGCACAATATTTCAAGATATACTGCAGTTGGCGCTAGCTGGGCCTCAGAGCAGGCAAGGCAGGGAAAAGAGCAGCGCGGGCGGAGCCAGAAGCAAACAGGAACGAAGGGGGCAGATAAGGAAGCAAGGGGGGTCAGAGGCAGACAGGCAGGGCAAGAGAGGTAGTGTACACCGAGGTCATCCCCGACGGTGATCTTACAAACCATGCAATAGTGACGAGCTTGGGAAAATGCGCAAATGTGCACTATGTATTATACACTGCTCGAAGGACGCAAGCTACCGTAAAAAGGTGACCAATCTCCGAAATCGAAAGAACACCATATGAAATTGTTCTTGTCGGGAGGGCGTCACGTCTGGATGAAAACGACGAGCACGCCTCAACAGAACCGCCCAAGCATCATGGGTACACTTGTTCCACATGAGCAGCCCAACTTTGCCCTGCAAGCGGCTCGTGCCGAACACTGGGACCTCGGGGAGGGACTGCAGGATATGCAAGTTTGGGCGCGTGTGGTGAAACATTGTCTGTTCTTACCAGTTGGTCCGTTTCCAGAGTACCGCACCCACGTCATCAGAGACATCCATACAATCGATAACCTGACAGAACTCCAACAGTCCCTGGACTAAACGGCAATTCTGTACATGTAGGCTCTCGTCACACCGAACATGTGACGAGCTCGGGCCTCGAACCCAGCATTACGGAGGTCAGATGATAACTCGGGGCATCCCTTCAATAACTGCAGGGCACGGCACTCTTTCTTTAGGGAGTACTCCGGCGGGGGGAGAAACTGGGCCACAGATCCCAAGCAGGAGAACGCATCAACACCTGAGTACAGCGTTGGACAGCCCAAGCTTCAGGGCCTTACAATCACGAGCGCGACGAAGAGGCTTATTCGCAGGTCAATTCCAACCCTTCGTGTCCGAGTCCTTCCCCGCCCAAATCCCTGGGTATTTCCCATTGCCCCCTGAATGATACTAGGCGGCATGATCCCGTGCCGGGGCAACAGCGCATCAAATGCGTAACGGCGACGGCCACACACACACACAGACACACGCATCGGCATGTTGAAAGCAAAGCCAGCGACTCGCTCCGCAAGTCGGAATACAGGCAGACAGCCGACGAGTGCAGCAACAACTTCGGCCGTGTCAGTCCCAAGGTCATCTGCAAAGACTACTGCAGCACCAAGATGTCGCGGCGGATTGTCCCATAGGATGCGCAAGATGGGGTCGACTGTGATCGCGGGCAATGTTGCAGAGGGCGGACACCCTTGCTCTATCCACCGGAGAACGTGGAAGGAACTGCCCCGAACTCCTCGCAACATCACCTGGGTCCGAATATTTGTATACAGCGTCTTGACAGCCTGGACGAGGATGGGTCAAAACCTATCGCCTCTAAGATCCAGAAGATGAGCTGGTGCAGCAGCGACGGGAAGGCCGCTTAAAGACGTTCAGAAGAAAGCCTGCTCGCACTTTCCAGTGCTGGGCAAGCCACGAAAGCACATAGCCTTCCAGCTGGATCAAGTCATCATGCATCTGACGGCGGGGAGTCCATGCTCTTTAGATAGGGTCGTAGCCGACTTGAGCCACGTAAGACATCTTGGACATGAGCGTATTATCGCTGGTGGCCTGAGCGAGACGGCGGGTAACCTCAGGGGGCCCTCACAACCATCTGAAAGTCCTCGGGAGCTCCACCTTTTGCCATGAACACTCCCAGAACGTTGTTGAACCCGTCATTCCTCAAGTCCCCATCCAGAAGATCTAGGTACACTTGATCAAAGAACATACGTAGCATGGGGCCGAGCATCTCAAAATCCACTAGATGTAATCCCATTGGGACCTGGGCTGGCATCTCTACATTTAAGCATAATCTCTTCAAACTCGGCGGGCTCGACGACCCACAGCACGTGATTAGGCAACATCGGCAGGAACGGGCGCGGCTGCTCGCACTACTCCACTGGAAAGCTGCCTTTATCTCCATGGATCCCGCCCGGTACTCTGCAAGTTGGCGACAAGCAGCCTCAGGTTCTGTAATCCGAGTCCCTGTCGGATCAGCAGTTGTAGACAGCGGAGAAGCACTTGCCCGTGGCACCCCAGGCAGCAGCAAACTGTGAGACGATGAGGCTGGCGCTGCTTATGATACGCTGGGTTTCACTGTCGTGCGCTTCCTGCGCGCGAAGCCGAATGGAACGTCTACTAGGCTCGACAAGGTGAGCGTGAAAGCCTCTGATCTGGGTCCGAATCGTGCTGTCTTTGCATAACGAATCGCTGAGCTTGAGGTACGCCGAACACGCTCAACTAACCACTGGACCATTGCGGACAGCAATTGCTCTCACTGCAGCAACCGACCATGCGATAAACTCTGGAATCGTAAAGGCCCCACCAGCCTCGAGACGACGCTTCAAGGTCCGAGCGGAGGCATACATTAAATCCTTGAGCTCCACCAGGGCTCAGGAGGAGGCGGAGGAGGAGGAAGGAGGAGGCGGAGGAGGGAGGAAGAGGAGGAGGAGGAGGAGGAGGAGGAGGAGGAGGAGGAGGTGGTGGAGGAGGAAGAGGAGGAGGAGGAGGAGGAGAGGGAGGGAGGGAGGGAGGGAAGGAGCAGGAGGAGGAGGCGGAGTTGGCTTGCCCGGCTCCGGGCCCGGGGCCCGCAGGAGCACCGCGGCGACCAGCTGCAGGCTGTGGGGGACGCCGTGCGGCGCGAGCTCGCCCAGGCCGGCCCTGAGGTGGCTTCTTCTCCGAAGAGCAGGGGCACGGTTGGAGGCCTGGAAGTGGGCACCAACACCAAGACAAGGGGCTACCTCCACAGGGGGGAGATGATCCTAGATTTCCGTGGTAATATTTCGGTCACCTTGGAAACCAGAATATTACCACCGTCACCGAGATCGGGATCGTCTTCCCTCGGTGGAGGCACACCGCCGATCTTGGTGTATGGTGTCAACCTCTAGGCCTGCGATTCTTCTCTGACGAGCAGGGGTGCGGGGGGACTGGCACAGGGGGAGAGACATCGACGTGGAATCGGCGATACATCGCTGGTAGATCGGCGAAAGGCCCTCGATAGTGGATCCCCCACGTTCCTGGGCGGGGTGTGGCTATCGGGCCCCCATCGGCGAGGAATGGGCGATTGGGGGTCGATGTATCCCCCCTATCCCTATTCCCCCCTTTCGTTGCCCCTGATTCAAGCGGTCCTTACGCGAGATGACATAGCGACCTTGCACGGCGGCTTACGCGGGCCGCCAGCGCAGCACGCCACATTGGAAACGAGGGCGCTCACGCGCGACCTACGCAGGCAGCTTGTGCGCCGATATCGATGAAGACGAACCCGTTTTCCCGCGTCGCTCAGGTGGCTTCTTCTCTCCCTCTTTCGGGGAGGCGACTCGGGTTCGGGGGACTCAAGTCGGCCTGACGGGGCCAGCAAGAAAATGACGAGGCTCGATCTGAAATGTGACGCGGGTTCCTACCGCAAACATACCACGAAGACTGGGTCGTCAAAATTCAGGCTGGGCCCGCCAAGGTGCATCGGCAAACCCGAGCTCTGGCGAACCCCACTCTTACGGTTCCCCGACTGCTCTTCTTCCCCAGACATCTGGTGATATGATTTGCTGAGGTGGGATGTGTCGTAGATTTCGGCCACCGGGGGCCGCCTTCGAGCCTCAGGACCACCACCAACTACTTCTGGGGAGGGGGTCAAGACCTCTGGGGCCGCGGGCTGAACAAAGCACATCGGCGGAGGTCCGGGTCTGAAAAGTGGAGAGGCGGGAGGCGACGTGGCGCAACCGCCCAGCTGCGTGCCCAGCGTCAGAGCGACGGCGCAGGAACCGAATCGGGAAAGTTGCGCCTCGACTCATCCACGAGCGGCCGCCATGCCGACCCTGACTGGCGGCGCGCTTGAACATTTGGCGATGCGCCAGGGAGGAGAGTCGGGTCGGGCAAAAGGGGGGGATAGCAAAGGGGGGGGTTGAGAATCAGCTCACGTAACTGATGTTCCCGGCGCCTCGGTGAGGCAGAAACCAGCTGCATGCAGCAAATTTCGGAACCCCCCCTTTCCCAATCCCCCCCTTTCGTCCGGCCCGAGAGAGGAGGGCCCAGAATCGAATCGAGAACGGATCGGAGATTGAAGCTAATCGTATCAACGGAAGTCGGCAGCCAAGTCGGGAGAAGCCGAATCGGCGGAGATCGGCAGGCCCGCGAGGCTTCCATTGAGGAGTCGGCATCCAAATCGATTTTTTTCCTCTGAAGCACTGGCGGAAAAAACGATTGCATTTGAGAGGCGTTTTATTCCTCACTTGCAGCCACTGCGAAGTATTCTACATCATCCCAGCCCACCAACTGGACACTCACACCATGAGAAAGTTAACAAAGCTGAGGAACGGGGTGTGCCATGTGCCTGTAGTCCCCGAGGCCTAGACAGCCGTTGATACGTTCCACATGAGCGAGCTGGAAGATACAGAATGGCCCAACCAGCCAATTCACAAAAACCAGCACGTCATGATATAGGACGCGGGAGGGGGGAAGAGGGGGAGGAGGGAGGAGGAAAACACACAACGCCCACAAAATGGGGACCAAGCTGAGGCACAATGCGGAGCTCCGTGAGTCACCGCGCAAGCCTGCACGCCAACGAATTACAGTACACAGTATGATATGCAAGTGGAGACCTGTGAAAGCGAAGCGCCAACTCAAGACGCGAGGAAACTGGGCGAGCAACGCACACCAGAAACTAGGAGACAACCTAACTAAGCTGTGCGGACGCGGCATGGCGGCCAGGAGACACGCGGGCGCCAGCGACGGTGCGGGCCAGGAGCGGCCCCCTACGGGAGCGGCTCGCAGGACCGGGCGGCCAACGGCCAACCCGCAGCCCCTGAATGCACTGGGCGCCCCAGGCGCCAATTGAGGAGGCAGAGGGGGGAAAGGAAAAGGGCAACGCGCGAGGCGAGGACACGCTAAAAAGCAGCAGCGCCGACCGACGCGAAAAGACGCGGAAGCCTCAGGGAATCACGTAGGAGTCGGCCTTGAGGATCATAGCGTTCAGCGTCAGCGTGCCGATGGTACTGGAGCCAGTCGCCGAAATCGTGGTGGCCGTCGTAACCCTTGATCTGGCCTTCGAGGTCGTGTCGCCAAGCGTCGTCGTGGCGCTGGCACCGGAGCCACTCGTCGAACACCTGGTGGCCAGTGTAGCCCCGCAGCTGCTGGGCGTCGTGGCCGCGCCGCCTGGTGATGTTGAGCCGCTGGTACTGGTCGACGTGGGAGCGCCCGACTCCGAAGTGAAAGATTCCTGAGCGGAGTATGGTCCTGAGGGCAAGGAAACCTGCAGGAAACAGAAAGACGGCCCCCCCACACTCCCACCCGGAACACCCCAGAGCCAGCAGGCACCCCACCCCAGGCCCGGGACACCCGATTGAGTGCCCTGGTCGTCCTCCTGCTGCTGAGGCGGCGATGGCTGTCTGACTGTGCGGCTGCAATGATGCTGGTACCCGTCACGGTGTGCATGTACTCGTCCTCTACTGGATGTCGGGGTACTGCGACGGGATGGGTGCGTCAGTCTGGCCAGAAGCAAGGATACCGCCACACAGTGCTGGTCACTCGTAACGGTCTGAACGACATGCAAAGCCAGCGAGCCAAGATTCCGAAACAAGGATGCCGCCACACAGTGGGATCCAGGTGGTGGCCGTCGGATCCCTATCCTGGAGTTGCTGGTCGTCGTGGACAGCCGATTCAGGAGGATGGGCTGGCATCCCCCAAAAACGTCGGGTAGGGCGTCGGGTAGGGCGACGGGTGGGGCGTCGGGAAGGGCGTCGGGTAGGGCACTGGGCAGGGCGCCGGGTAGATGCTAGCCGTCATGCTCGTGACGCTCAGTGTCGTCGTGCCGGCGCTGGTGCCAGAGCCACTCGTCGATCTCGCGTTCGCACTCGTCGAGCTCGTGGTGGTTGTGATAGTCCTGGAGCTGCTGATCGTCGTGCTCATGCCGCTGGTACCGGAGCCACTCGTCGAGCTCGTGGAGGTCGTCGCATCCTGGGCTGCGCTGGTGGCTGCACTGGCGGGTGCAGGGCTGGCCTGCAGCGGGGCCCATCTGCTCGGTCCTGTTGGTCGGAGTCCCAGTGTTCCGTCGTCGTACCCCGACTGGGTGCCAGAATCGCGTTCTAAGTCCCCAAGTTGTTGCTGACGCCGTGCTGCATGACGCAGCCGCACTGCTCACGGGGCTGTGCTGCTCGTGGCGCCCGTCGTGTTGCTCAAGGCGTGCGCTTCGACGTAAGCCGGCGAGCGTTACGACAAGGCGAGGGCGGAAACCGTGACACGTCCAGGCGGGTATTCCGTGACATCACGAGGCCCCCAGTGCGGCGAGCGTCATAGCAAAGGTCGTGTCGAGTCTGATCGGGGGTAACATGTAGTAGCCCATGTGGGTGGTGGCGGCGTAGGTGCCAGCGAAGGCGCAAGCGTTGATTCTGGCGTCAGTGCTGGCGTGGGCGCACGCGCAGGTGCTGGTGTAGGCGCTGTCGTTGGTGCTTGCGTCTGTGCTGATGCAGGCGCTGGCGCTGGTACCAGCTGGCGCAGGCGTCGGTGCTGGCGTCGGCGCTGGCAGCGGCGCTGGAGGAGGCGCCGGCGCTGGGGCTCGCGTCCGTGCTGGCGTCGGTGTTGGCGCAGGCGCTGACATTGGTGTCGGGTGTCGGCGTCGGCGTCGGTGCCTGCGTCTGCGCTGGTATGGGCGATGGCATTCGTGCTGGCGTGGGCGCCAGTGTTGGTGCTGGCGTTCGTGTTGGCGTCGGCGCTGATGTAGGCGCTGGCGATGGTATTAGCGTAGGCTCAGGCGATAATGCTGGCGTCGGCCATGGTCAAAAACCGGCGATAGTTCTGGCGTCGGTGCTGGCCAGGGTTGGTGACGGCACTGGCGATGGGGCTGGCCTAGGCGCCAGCGTTGGTGCTGGCGACGGTGCTGGCCTCGGCGCTTGTGTAGACGCTGGCGCTGGTGCCAGCGGAGGCGCAGGCGTGGATGCTGGCGTCGGTGCCGGTGTCGACGCTGGCGTAGGTGCTGGCGTTTGTGCTGGCGTCGGTGTACGTGCAGGCGCCGGCGTTGGTGCCTGCAGGCGTTGATGCTGGCGTCGACGCTGGAGGTGCCGGCGTTGGAGCTCACGTCCGTGCTGGCGTCGGCGTCGGTGTAGGCACTGGTGTCGGTGCTGGGGTAGGGGCAGACGTTGCTGCTGGCGTCGGTGCTGGTGTCGGCGCTGGCTGAGGCGCCAGCATTGGCGTCGGTGCTGGCAACGGTGGTCGGCGCGGGCGCGGCATTCGCGCTGGCGTCCATTCTGGCGTCGGCGCTGGTGTAGGCGCTGGCGTTGCTGCTGGCCGAGGCACAGGCCTTGATGCTGGTGTCGGTATTGGCGTCGGCGCTGGATTAGGCGCCAACGATAGCTCTGGCGTCGGTGCTGGCGCTGCTGGCGTCGGGGCTGCTGTAGGCGGTCGGTCTGGACGTAAGGGTCTGGACGCCCAACTGGACGTGATGGTGGAGGCGCTGGTGCTGGTGCAGGCGGAGGTGCATGCGTCGGTGCTGGCGTCGACGCTGGTGTCGGTACTGGAGTAGGCGATGGCGTTGGTGCTGGCGCAGGCGCAGGCGTGGCTGCTGGCGCAGACGCTGGCGCTGGTGCCAGCGTAAGCGCGGGCTTTGGTGCCAGCGTCGATGCTGGCGCTAGTTCTGGTGTAGGCGCTGGCGTTCATGCCGGCGGAGGCGCCGGCGTTGGTGCCATCGTCGGTGCTGGCGTCGACGGCGGCGTAGGCGCTGACGTTGGTGCCGGCGTAGGCGCAGGCGTTGGCGCTGGCGTCGATGTTGCCGCTGGTGCTACTGTAGACGCTGGCGTTCATGCCGGCGGAGGCGCCGGCGTTGGTACTGTCGTCGGTGCTGAAGTCGACGGCGGCGTAGGCGCTGGCGTTGGGGCCGGCGTAGGCGCAGGCGTCGGTGCTGAAGTCGATGCTGGCGCTGGTGCTACTGTAGCCGCTGGCGTTCATGCCGGCGTAGGCGCCGGCGTCGGTGCTGTCGTCGGTGCTGGCGACGACGGCGGCGTAGGCGCTGACGTTGGAGCCGGCGTAGGCGCAGGCGTCGGTGCTGAAGTCGATGCTGGCGCTGGTGCTACTGTGGACGCTGGCATTCATGCTGGCGTAGGCGCCGGCGTCGGTGCTGTCGTCGGTGCTGGCGTCGACGGCGGCGTAGGCGCTGACGTTGGTGCCGGCGTAGGCGTGGGTGTTGTAGATATCGTCGGTGATGCCTTCGGTAACTTGCGCGATGCTCGCCGCCGCTGCGCTGGCGGGTGTCCCCAAGCGTCCCTGGCGGGGTTCTCGAAGCTGGAGAAGAACAGGTTGAAGTGGACGTGGAATGGTTTTGGTGCTGGTCGTTGCGGCCGTACCCCTGCTCGTGAAGGCGGTGGCGGGCATTCGTAGAACTCGTGGTGGCGGTGCTGCTGGAAGCCCTCGTCGAACCCGTGGAGGTCGTGCTAGTCCTCGAGCCGCTCAGCAACCTCGCGTCGTTGGGACTGGAAGCACTCGTCGAGCTGGTGGTGGACGTCGTATCCTAGGAACAGTTGCTGGCCGTCGAGCACATGCTGCTCACCGTCGTGCTGCCGTCGCTGGAACTGGATCCCCCCGTCGAGCTCGAGGTGCACTGGTGCTGCAAATTGCAGTGGGGCTGCTGCACGGCACGCCGCTGGGGACGTTGAACTGGCCAGCCCGCGATTTCCGGCGTACCGGTCCATCCGCTACCGCCCGGAGGAGGGATATTCAAAGGTTGTTCAATTGCGACGGTGCTGGCGTCGGTGCTGGCTTCGGTACTGGTGTGGGAGCCGGTGTTGGTGTCGGCGTATGCGTCGGCATTGATGCTGGCGTAGGGGCTGACGCTGGCGTAGGGGCGTTGGTGCTGCTGCGCGTGGCGCTGCTGGTCTCAGCCGTTGGAGCCAAAATGGTGTACCGGCCTATCCGCAATTTTCGGCGTGCCGGCCCATCCGCTATCGCACGGCGGCAGGGGAAACTCCGAGGTGATTCGATGGCGGCGGTGCTGGCGTCGGTGCTGGCGTCGGTGCTGGTGTGGGCGCCGGCGTAGGTGTCGGCGTATGCGCCGGCGTTGACGCTGGCGTAAGGGCTGGCGCTGGCGTGGGGGCGTTGGTGCTGCTGCGCACTGGGCTGCTGGTCCAAGCCGTGGGAGTCAAACTGGTGTACCGGCCTATCCGCGATTTTCGGAGTGCTGGCGCATCCGCCGTCGCACGGCGGAAGGGGTACTCAAAGGTGGGACGATGGCGGCGGTGCTGGCGTCGGTGCTGGCGTCGGTGCTGGTGCGGACGCCGGCGTAGGTGTCGGCGTAGGCGCCGGCGTTGGTGCCAATCCGAAGTCGACTCGAATCGGAATCGGAATCCATGAAAATCGGATCGAATCGAATCGAAGGAGTCGGAATTAGCCCTGGGTGGTGGGCGAAGGACTTTGAAAGCTGTCGGGCGTTCCTGGTAATCCCCGTCGCCACGCCGCCACGGCCGGACATGCCTCGGACAACCTGCCCAATCCCGGGCGGAGTCCAGGGTCCCGTGCCGACGAGAATCGGGCGATGGGGATCGTCTCAGAAAGGTTCCCCCGGGGGCTTCTGAGAAGGCCCCTTCAGAAGGCAAGGGGGCTTCCAAGAAGCCCCCAGCCTTCTCTGGAGGTCGCCCCCCCAGACATGCGTTGTCCTGATTTCAATGCGGGGTCCCCAGAAAATTCCGACCCCAGGACCGGTGTTTCATCCTGAGCCCTTTTCCAACAGTCCTGGGGCCGTGTGAGGGCCCCCAGACGCCGCAAACGGCGAAAGACCGCCCCTCCGACTTTTTATTCGCGACGCGAGCGTATCTGGGCCTCCTCGCTGGCCCCCCTTTCGGAGGCCTAGAAATGGGCACCACCGCCAACACGGGGGGTCGCCTCCACATGGGAAAGATGGCCCTAGATTTCGGTGTTGGTGGCAAGCCAGAATATTACCACTATCACCGAGATCGGGATCTTCTTCCCTCGGTGGAGGCACACCGCCGATATTGGTGTTGGTGTCAACCCCTAGGCCTGCGACCCTTCGGCGCGCCACCGGCCTGACCAAGGCTGGGTCCACGAGGGCGGCAGCGTCGACGTCCTCCGCGCAGTCGCGGACCAGGCGGGCGGCGGCGGACAGGCAGCTCAGCCGGAAGGGGTCGGAGGCGGCGTGGCACGCGTGACGCGTCAAGGCCTGGATCAGCTCGGGCGAGAAGAACCACTCCTGGGCCACGGCTGGCGCCTGGGCAGGAGCGGTCCGCCTCGGCTCGAGAAGTCGGATGGCATTTGATGGGCCTGTGTTTGAGGGGGAGAGGGTCTTCCTCCTCCTCCTCCTCCTCCTCCTCCTTCTCCTCCTCGTCCTCCTCTTCCTCCTCCTCCTCCACCTCCTTCCCCCCTCCAACTTATGGCGGTGGTGGAAAACAGGCTCATCAACATCGAAAAAGCGTCGGGTCGGGCCACATCTGCACGGAGTCAGAGTCGGACCCGCCACTCCGGCATGCACAAGAACCGCCGTGCAGGAATCGGGCCGCATCGGATCGCCCAAGATCGGAATCGACTCGGATCGAGCCGGTCATCGCCGATACCGAACCAGATCGATCGGATCGAAGTGGACTGGGAGAAACAGACTGTGCAAGCATAAGCAGAAAGCATAAACTGTCGGAGCTCCGCGCGCATCTCTTGAGTCGGCGCTGGACCTCCCCTCCCTGGCGCGCGGGGCGCCCAGGCACCGACCCCAGAAGTCCGCGCAGAGCTCCGACAGTTTACGTTTGTGCTGTCTTTTGGCACTCAGAGGAGGGGGCCCTGCCTGCCTGGGTGGCCACGTTCTCGATCGTCTTGGCGGCATAGTGCTGCACCACCTCGTCCCCGTCGGGCGACGTCAACGCGAGGACGAAGCTGCTCAGGGCCACCCTGGGCACCTCGGGAGGGGCCGGGCTCGTCGTCGTCGTCGTCGTCGTCGTCGTCGTCGTCGCGGTCGCTCGTTGTCGCCGCCGCCGCCGCCACCGTCGTCGTAGCCGTCGTCGTCGTCGTCGTCGTCGTCGTCGTCGTCGTCGTCGTCGTCGTCGTCGTCGTCGTCATCGTCGTCATCGTCGTCGTCGACCATCGTCGTCGTCGTCGTCGTCGTGTCGTCGCCGTCCCTCTCCTGGAGGGTTAAAGCGGCACAGAAGGGCAGGGCAAGATCAGTCGGCATCGAATCTGAAACCGGATCGAATCTGAACATACGTCGGATCGGGCTGCACCAGCACGGGATCCCGATCGAATCGGACAGGCTGCGCCAGGATGCACAACAGCGCCATGCAAACATCGGGCCGCATCGGATCGTCGGAACCCAGACTTCCGACGTCATGATCGGTTCACAACATGCATTCCCAGAGGTCTCGACTCGTTCCCCAAGGCCAGTTTTTCATCCAGAGTCGATGTTCACTGTCCTGCTGTGGCCTGATATGGGCCAAACGAAAACGACACTTGCCGAAAACCTCCCTATCGAATCGGCTCGGGCCTCCCGAAACCGATGTCGGGCGTTGCCTAATAATAGGGGGCGATAAGCGGTGGGAGAAACGTGCATCTTTCGTGCCCCTTGTAGACCCTTGGGGGGGGCCTTTAGAGCCCCTTTGGACCACAAAAGGGGCACCTTTCTTCTTCCCCCCATTTGGCGGGTTCACGCAAGCCCGAACCAAAAGGCCTTGCCATCTCTTGGGAGGCCGTTTTTTACTTCCGCCGGCTTCCGTCGGCCTTCCGCCGGCGGAGCCGCCCTCGTTCTACTTCCATGGGCTTTTTGCCGAAGTTCCGCTACCTTCCTCAAAGGAAGAGATTCCAACGAATTCCAAGGTCTTCGATCCTCGAGGAAGGAGAGGACCTGTCTGCAGCGCGCCCTTTCGGCCGAGGGAAACAATTACCGAACACTCCCCCTCCCCCAAAAAACTCAAAGTTGACACGCGCGGAGGAGACTGCGGTCGAAGTGAAACTCATCAGACGCACCGCCGACGTTGAACACTGGGGGGAGGGGGAGGCGTTGACAGATGAATGAATTGACAGGCTATCGGGCCCCCATCGGCGATGAGTGGGCGATTGGGGGTCGATGCATCCCCCCCTATCCCTATTCCCCCTGTCGTTGCCCCTGATTCAAGCGGTCCTTACGCGAGATGACGTAGCGACTTTACGCCGCGGCTTACGCGGGCCGCCAGCGCGGCACGCCACATTGGAGTCGAGGGCGCTTACGCGCGACCTTGCGCGAGCAGCTTACGCGCCAAGGTCGATGAAGACGACCCCGTTTTATCCCGTCGCCCACATGAGTTTCCGCTACTCTTTCCCGAGGCCTGTTTATCACCGCCTATTAATCATTACGCAACGCCCGACGATTTCGAACCTTGGACCGGCCGGGTCAGAAAAAGTACGGGCTCCGCAGGGGCGCGTCGTCGTCGCCGTCGTCGCCGTTGTCGCCGTCGTCGTCGTCGTCGGCGTCGTGCCCAGGGCCACTCTGGGCACCTCGGGCGGAGCCAGGCTCGTCGTTGTCGTCGTTGTCGCTCGTCGTCGCTCGTTGTCGTCGCTCGTCGTCGTCGTCGTCGCCATCGTCCTCGTCGTCGTCCTCGTCGTCCGCGTCGTCATGCTCGTCGTCGTCCTCGTCGTCCTAGTCGTCGTCGGCGTCGTCCTCGTCGTCGCTCGTCGTCGTCGTGGCTCGTCGTCGGCGCTCGTTGTCGTCGCTCGTCGTCGTCGCTCGTGGTCGTCGCTCCTCGTCGTCGTCGTCGGCGGCGTCGTCGTCGGCGTCGTCGTCGGCATCGTCGTCGACGTTGTCGACGTCGGCGTCGTCGTCGTCGTCGACCTCCTGCCGGGTCGGCGGCACTGGCCGCAAGACCTGCTCAATACACAGGGGCCCCGCAAGGGCACTGGGGCGCGCTCTCTTCGTGCCCCTGTGCCTGCCAGTCGTTCGCGGCGCCTCCGGCCGCGTCCGCCTCCGCCTCCTGGGGGGGAGAGCCCGCAAAGGGCGTTTTGGAGTCCCGAAACGGTGCGGTGACAGACCGTGCGGTGACTTCGAAATCCCCCAAGACATCACCGCACTCCGAACATGGTGGTGTAGGTGACGTACCCGATCTACAGGGGCTCGCTCCTGCCATAAGCCGAACTACAGCAGACAACCATGGGCATCACAAGCTGTAGGCGATGTCACCACAGCGGCCAGCCATAACGGCATCTGTATAGCGGATCTCCGGGACCATGCGCGGGAGAGAACATTCCGGAGAAACCGAATATGCATTGAATTGCCCCGCCAATTTGCACCAAATTAGGTGTGCCAGCTGCTGCTTCCCGAGTCGGACCAAGGACAGAGCAAGCTCCGCCTGGCCCCCCAGCCGGGACAACTGGCCCCAGAGATTATAACACAATGGGGCCAGCGGAGGAAGCAGAGACCACTGGCAACCGCCAGACACTGTTGGCAGGCGGCCGCGGCAGCTGCTCGGCGCCCTTCGCAACTGCCGCTACCCTATGGCAAAGTGGGACACAGCTAGACAAAATGCCCCGCTGGATACTCCTCACTACACCTTTGTGGACGCATCAGTAGGCCGCTGGCGTGCGGGAATGGCCGGAGAGGGGAGACAGCCCCAACCCGGCACGGACCGCACGCCCGCAAAGGCCAGCCCGATGCCACAGCGTACAGGGTAATGCCTTGGGGGGTTATCAGCAGGGTCCGATCCCTTTTCGCTGACCGCCACGGCAGTGTGCAAGGCCGCCGCCCGGCTTGCGCCAGGCACCCCCCAAAGACATCACCGCACGGTTTGGGGACCTCGGATGCCCCAGTCGCCCGAGACGGCCTCGGAGAACGACCCGACTCCCCAAACCGTGCGGTGACCCCGAATCCCCACCGACTCACCACACGGTGTGGTCACCGCTCCGTTTGGGAGCCCCCGATACCCGCCCACCCACGTACATGGCGGGTTCCAGAAACTCCGAACCCAAAAATGTTATTACCTCCTGGGAAGTCGGGGATCTTCTGACCAGGGTCAATCGAGACCCGCGTCAGTCAGGCCTTGCAGAATCCTGCAAGATCCTGCAAGATCCCTCACCCAAACCCGGGTTCGTGCGAAGGATCCTGAGAGATCCTGCAAGATCCTGCACCCAAACCCAGGTCAATGCGACCCTGGCCCTGCAGGATCCTGCAAGATCCGGCACTCTGGCTGACCCCCGTTTGCATGGACCCCCGTCTCTTGAGCCCCGAGGAAGTCGACGTTTGCTTACGCCGGCTTCCGCCGGCTTCCGCCGCCTTCCGCCGCGGAAGCGATGGCGAGTCCTCCGACCCTGAAGGCGAGGCCCTTTTTGCAACGCCTCACGTGAGCACGGCCCCCCAGTCCGCGAGACCAGCCGCGTGATACGAAAGCTCGCGCAACGCGTGCTCCCGAAACGTACGTGGATTCATGTACGCGTACCCATCGGTCGGAAGAAGTAGGTAGACACATGAAGTAGGAAGGCGTTGGAAATAGATTGGGTTTCCGCCCGCCTCCTGAAGAGGAAGGAAGGAGGAAAACCACTCGACTCTTGAAGTAGGAAGGCGCTGAAAGTAGATTGGAATCTGGGAATCCAAAAATACCTACTTTCAACGACTGGTGGGTACGCGTACGTCCACCTTTCGCTTCTGATAGGGGGGGCGGGGGCAAAAAAAGGGGCACCGACCCGTTCGATCTGCGGCGCGCTGGGACCAGCATACGACGGGGCTGCGACGAGGATGGCATCGGGCGAGGAGAACTCCGGCGGCTCTGGAGGAAGCCTCGGGCGCTGCGGCCTTCTCCGAGCGCTCCGGAACGCTCCGAAAGCGTTCGGGAAGGCTCCCGAAACGTACGTGGATTCATGTACGCGTACGTCCGCCTTTCGCTTCTGATAGGGGGGGCGGGGGCAAAAAAGGGGGCACCGACCCGCTCGATCTGCGGCGCGCTGGGTCCAGCATACGACGGGGCTACGACGAGGATGGCATCGGGTGTTTGGTGCCGAGGGGTACTCTTAGAGTGTCTCAAGGGCATATGTGAGAAAACTCTGTACAGTCGAAGGACGATTACGCCGACAGGGCGTGCCCAATCCTTTTGCCGGTTGCCGTGAGCGCTGTACCGCTGGCAAGGGGGTGACTGTGTCCCTCCCGGCGACTGGTTGCAGCGAGCTCTCGGGTCTGGGGGTCCAGCATAAGACGGGGCAACGACGAGGATGACATCGGGTGAGGAGAACTCCAGCGGCTCTGGAGGAAGCCTCGGGCGCTGCGGCCTTCTCCGAGCGCTCCGGAACGCTCCGAAAGCGTTCGGGAAGGCTCTTGAACATATTTGTCCTCGGCCTAGCCCCTAGCCCCGTCCGACGGCCAGCGGTCGGCTGACGGCCGGACGCGGCGGAAGCGAATTCCTGGCACACAGGAACAGGGCTCGAGCTAAACAGGGTGTTTCATTTTCGCTTCGTGTTCGTTTCCCTTCGCTCTGTCGTCGTTCTGCCTTTGCTGCGAAGCGAAATCAAAACGGAAACGGCCCACCGCATCGCCAAAACACCGCTGAACTCGAGCCCTGCACGGGAGCAGGAAGGCAGGAGCGAAGGGTGGGAGGGCCGCGGGGCGGCCAGAGCACACTCGGTGCGCAGGCACCATCTCGGGAAGTGAGAGGTACCCGGGCACCGCTGCTCCCCAAACCTGTCCCAGGGGTGCACTCTTCGGGGGCGCGCAAACATGGATTAGCGATCCATGGATTTGGCGCGCGCTCGCCAAATCCATGGATCGGGCGAGGCGTCCTCTCCAAAATGCGGCCGGTGCCGCCACGTTCGGCTGCGGAACTCCGCGTTTCCCATGGAGAAACGGGACCCGTCGCTAGTCCCGTTAATCCATGTTTGCGATCGCCTGAACTCTGACCAGAAGTCCCACAAGCCATTTAGGGCGTGAGTTCTGTAGAGCACCTCCTCTTCCACCCCCCCTTCTTCCCCTTCCGGTAGGGGTTTACCCTCCACTTCCCCCTGGACCTGGACGGGGCCCTTGGCGAGGTGCCAGACGGTCTTTTTCTGGCCTCGGCGAGAAAGCCAAACATTGAATGTACTGAGGTTTGGGCAACATGCTGGCCTTCGTGGGCGGGGGGCCTTTTTGAGTACGGCCCCTCCTTTGATCGATCTGTTCCAAGGTGGCACCAAGATGGCCCCCGAGGCTCCCAAGGGTGCCCCAAGACGGCCACAAGAGGTGCCCAGGAGGCCCCAATAGGCCCCCAAGAGGCCTTCAAAAGGCCCCCAAGATACCCCGAACAGACCCCAGGAGGCCCCCCAAACGCCCCAAGATGCCTCGGCGAGAAGCCCGAAATCACTTACTTTGCTAAGGTGTTAGCAACTTTCTGACCCTCGTGGGGGGCCGTAAGTAAGGATCCCCCCTCCTTCGATCGATTTCGTCAAAGATGGCTCCGAGATTGCCCCCGAGGCTCCCAAGGATGCCCCAAGACGGCCCCACGAAGTGCCCAGGAGGCGCCATTAGGCCCCCAAGAGGCCCCCAAGATGCACCTCCAAGAGGCCCCCAAGATACCCCGAACAGACCCTAAGAAACCCCAAAGACGCCCCAAGAGGCCTCAGCGAGAAGCCCCAAATCCGCCGACCCCTTGTGGGTCTCTAGGCGTGTGAGATAGTTCCCCCCCATAACACCCCCCAAGGACCCCAAACCGGAGATTTGACCCCCCCCCCCGGCCCGGCGCGAGCGCACACCCCCCCGGCCCGGCGCGAGCGCACCACGAGGCTTTTCCGGACCCAGGAGGGCCCCAAGAAGGCCCCAAGAGGCCTCCAAGACGGCCACGAGGGCCCCGAGACGCCAAACGAGCGCTCCAAGACGCCCAAGATGGCCCAAAGACGGGCTAAGAGGCCTCCTAGACGGCCCAAGAGGTCCCCACGAGGCCCCAAGAGGCCTCCAAGATGCGTCCCAAAGAGGGTCCCTAGACGCAAAAATGGGCCCATTCCCTTCGTAAAACGCACAAGTTTCACAAGTTCGCCTTCTCGGCTTTCCGATGCTCCCAGACGGCCCAAGAGGCCCCCAATACCGCCCCAAGACGGCAAAAGAAGCCTGCAAGAGGGCCCCAAGATAGCCCAAGAGGGCCCCAAGACGGCTCAAGACGCGCCGAAGACGGCCCAAGAGGGCCCCGAAATCGGCCCCAAGAGCGTTCCAGGAGCGCTCCAAGTGGCCTGCAAGAGAGCTCAATATGGTCCCACACAGCCCAAGAGCGATCAAAGACACCGCATATGGCCCCCAGACGGCCCAAGATGCCCCCAAGAGGCCCCAAGAGGCATCCAAGATGCGTCCCAAGAGGGCCTCTAGACGCAACAAACATTTTTCACAAATTCGCCTTTTGGGCTTTCCGATGCTCCCAGACGGCGCAAGAGGCCCCCCAAGTTCGCCCCAAGACGGTCCAAGAAGCCTCCAAGAGGGCCCCAAGACAGCCCAAGAGGCCCGAAGACGGCTCAAGACGCGCCGAGGACGGCCCGAGAGAGCCCCGAAGACGGCCCCAAGAGCGCTCCAGGAGCGCTCCAAGTGCTTCCAAGAGAGCTCAACATGGTCCCAGACGGTCCAAGAGCGATCAAACACACCCGAAATGGTCTCCAGATGGCCCAAGACGCCCCCAAGAGACCTCCAAGATACGTCCCAAGGGGGTGCCTAGACGCAAAAATTTGCTCATGTCTTTCGTAAAATGTATATTGTTTCACAAGTTCGCCTTGTGGGCTTTCCGACGCTCCAAGACGGCCCAAGAGGCCCCCGAAGACCGCTCCAAGACGGCCCAAGAGGCCCCCAAGACAGCCCCACGACGGCCCAAAATGGCCCCAAGACGGCCCAAGAGGTCCCCAAGACGACCCAAGAAGGCTCCAAGACGGCACCAAGAGGGGCCCGCCCCCACGAGCCCCAAGGGGGCCCCAAGAGTGCCCCAAGAGGCCGCCAGAGGCACCCAAGAGGCCGCCAAGACGCCTCACGGAGCCCCCAAGAGGCCCCCAGGAGGCCCCCCAAAGACCCCCAGACGCTTCCGTATTGCGAGCCGTAAAGCCAACTGCAATGCATTCCGCGCATACAGCCTTGCTTTTCCTCGTGAAGTGCTCACTATCTTGCTCGGCGCTAATGTGCTGCTGCTGCCGCGCGAACTGTTTAGTGCGCGCTGCGAACGTCGACGGCCTCTTCACCCGTTTCGACTCATCTGCCACATCTTTCGCGGTGATGCCTCGCTGATCACAGCTTCCGCACACCACTCTTGCTCTTTTCGTCTTCTGGTGGTCCTCCACTTGGTTGCGGGTCGAAAGGCCGACCTCCCAGAAGGACACCCCGCACCCGGGTGCACAGCACGCAAGGCGCTCGCAAAACACGCCCCAGACCACCGGCATCACGCAAACAGTTGGACCCCCTACGTATCTGCCACCACCCGCGCGCGACACCGCACCCTCACACAAGACGCCGCTGGCCACAAACTCCTGGCCTCGCAACACTCACAGAAGGGGTCGGCGGATGTGGCGCAAGCCTGTATAATCATTTACTTTGCTGAGGTTTTGGCAACATGTTGACCTGTGGGAGGGGCCGTAAATAAGAATCCCCCTCCTTCGATCGATTGCCTCCAACGCTCCGACGCTCCCAACGGTGTTCCAAGAGGGCCCCAGGAGGTGCCCAGTAGGTCCCAAGAGGCCTGCAAGAGGCCTCCAAGAGGCCCCCAAGGAGCCCCCAAGAGGCTCCCAAGAGACCCCGGGGAGACCCAACAGACCCCGGAGAGACCTAAGGGGCCCCCCGGAGGCCCCAAAGGTCTAAATTCATTGTGTTTGTTTTTTTCTATGGTTTGGGCAACACGTTGGCCTCTTGGGGGGGACTCCAAGTAAGGAGACCCCTCCTTTGGTCGATCTCGTCCAACCCCAAGATGACCCCCGAGGCTCCCAAGGGTGCCCCAAGACTGCTCCAAGAGGTGCCCAGGAGGCCCCCAAGAGGCCCCCACGATGTCCCCACTATGTCCCCAAGAGGCTCCCAAGAGAACCCTGAGAGGCTCCAAGAGGCCCCCCAGAGGCACCCAAGACGCTTCAAGAGGCCCACCGGGACTGCCAAGAGACCCCCAAGACGCCCCAAGAGGACCCCAAGAAACTTCCGAAAGAAACCCGAAGAGACTCCGAGAGTCATCGAAGACGCCCCTGGCCTTTCTGCTCGCCCTCCTCTTTTTCGTCCGCCTCCTCCTCCTCGTCCTCCTCCTCTTCCTCCTCCTCGTCCTCCCTTCCTCCTTTTCCTCATCCGCCTGTTCCTCATCCTTGCTCCTCCGTCATCCCCCCTTCCCCTTCTCCCTCATCTTCCTTCTCCTCCTCCTCCTCCTCCTCATCCTCCTCCTCATGCTCTTACCCCGATTCCTCCTCCATCCTCCCCCTCTTGGGTACGACGTCTCACCCCGCCCCTCAATCCATTGCGTTCTCCTCCGCATCCCTGATCAGGGCAACTCGTCTGGGCATCGTTTCTGGACGGGCTGGTGGGGCTATTTTTTCTTGGTCTGCGGCCGCGCGACAACGGTCTGGCGGCGAGGGGCAAAGTCCAGGGCAGGCGGCACGATGCCAATTTGCGAACACAACCGCCAGTTTGGCAAGCCGGTTCGCACCTGCACAACAAGCGCGCAGCTGCACATGCACAGAACATAGTGATCGAAATTCACCAGCAGACGCACACAGGCGCCGCACGGTAAACCGAAGTGAACAAACGGCAGCGGGTGCGAGTGCAGCGGAGTGAGTCGCCGGTGCGGCGCCAAACTCCAAGCCGCCGGCCCGGCTGGCTGGGAAACAAATGCCCGGGGAACCGGGCTGCCCGCGGTGGAAAACAAGAGGCAAAGCGAGCGCGGAAGGCTGAACCACTCAGCGCGCAGCCCTCAGAATCCTCCGCTCTGCTGGGGGGGGCCAGCGGCATCAAACGCATCGAATCCGGCGCCTGCGGCGGATAGGCCCAAGGGTGGACGCGACGGCGCGAGACACAGGCTGTACAGAGGCTGCAACACTCAGAGCAAGGCCCTCGGGCACACAACTCCCAGTGCCGGTGGAAGCCAGCGACTGCCCAAGCGCCACTGTGCCGTCCTGCCGCGAAGAGGTCCACCGATGCCGAACCGCTGACATCGCTCTGGGTCGGGCTGGTGGGGCTACTTTTTTGATCTGCGGCCCGCAAGGAAGAGTCCAGAGGGCGTTTCAATCGGGCTGACTGGGGCACAGTGCCAGATAGTTCGTGCAACATGCAGAACAAATTGGGGAAAACAGGCAGACGGGCAACAAGCCACAGAGAAAATTAGCGGACAGGTGGAGAATTCAGGGGGACGCATCTTAGCGTCGAGAATGCGAGGAATCGCCGAGACGGCGCCAGCTCAACGCGACAAAATAGATTCATGGGCCGGTACAAAGCGTAACCCGACCAGCCCCGATACAAGTCGTCGTCTCCAGGGAGACGCATCTTAGCGTCGAGAAAGTGAGGAGTCGCCGAGACGGCGCCAGCTCAACACGACGAAGGGCGGGGGAGGGGGGCGAAGGGAGGAGAGGAGCGGGCGGCGACGAGGGGAGGGGGGGAGGAAACCAGGCCTCACTCTCAGTCACAGAACACCTCACGTGTTCGAATCTCACTCACGGAGCGCACAAAGCGGGTGCCGCTGAACCAGGCACCTGAGGAATTGACGTGAAGACCCAACATGGCGAGGTCGGGAAGGAGGCCAGGCGACACTGACTGCCGAGGACCCAACCGAGCGTTGCCCGGGGCGAGTCAGGGGGGAAGGTCGTCGGCGTCGCGCAGCGGGACGGGCCCGTCGAGGAAAGGCTGAGCCTGACAAAGAATGAACCACTTGTGCAGGAGAGTGCCTTACCAACAGGTGGGCCAGGCGACACAGACTGCCGAGGACCCAACAGAGCGTTGCCCGGGGCCGGTCAGGGGGGAAAGCCGTCGGCGTCGTGCAGCGGGACAGGCCCGACGAGGGAAGGCAGCCTGCCAGAGAATGAACCACTAGTGCAGGAGTGTGCCTTACCTGGGCCCACCCGCAGGTGGTGGTCGAAGGGCCCGCCACTGCAGTCGTCGTGAAGGAAAGTGGCGACACAGGCACTGGTGGGGCTACGCGAAGCGCCTAGAATTCGAGGGGAATTCTGGCACGAGGGCTCTCCAGGACGAGCATCGGCATCGACCTGAGATCCGACGTTGCAATACACATGCAGCACCGGACAGCATCACGACCAGAGCCCCGGACCCCATCTTGCTGCGCCGCTCCTCGAGCGGGGCCGATCTGTGAGAACCCAGGGGCCCGGAAGGCCGGACTAAAACGCCCCGTGTGGAAAAAAAATTATGCATCGCCAGGATCTCAGTATGCCCGCATGCAGTCGGACTGCTGAAGTAAGGAACGCTCAATAACGAACGAAGCCCCCTGTTTGGCCCCAGAAGCGCCTGCGTGGACGAGGAGCGCTGGAGAAACAGCCAGCGAAGGACCTACGGAGCATCAAGCCCCTTCTGAGCCCAGAGCGGTCCTTATTTCAGCGTCTTGGCTGTATTCTCCTCCTCGGAGCCTCCGTGGCCGGCTGCGTGGCGATGTAGAAAAGCAGCTCGCCCAGGGCGGCGGCGGCGCGGCGGCGCACGACGCCCTCGCGGTCGCCGAGGGCGTCCCGCAGGGCGTCCAGCAGCCCTGCCTCCGCGGCCGCGGGCTGCAGGTAGGTCGCGTGCCTCGGAGGGGACAGAGGGTAAGAGGAGTAGGAGGAGGAGTAGGAGTGGCAGGAGGAGTAGGAGTAGGAGCAGGAGCAGGAGTAGGAATAGGAGTCAAGCTAGCCAGATCGAGCGAGTCAAGCATGGCATGCCCATTTCCACCCGCCTTCCCACAACATAAGAAACAGTGCTGGCGAACTGGGGACCGAAATCAGATGGGCAAGATGGTTTGCCACAGCTGATGCAGCCGCGATGGCGCTTACCGATAAGAAATCCCTGGCGCATCTCAAAGACTGCGCTGGCATTTCAGCACGAGCCGAGGAGGCCCCAGGTAGCCTCAGAAGGCCCCATGAGGCCTCAGGAGAAGCCCCAGCGACCCCCAGGAAGCCCCAGGAGGCTTCAGGAGGGCCCAGGAAGCCCCAGGTAATTCCAGGAGGCTTCAGGAAGCCCTAGGAAGTGTCAGGAAGCCCCCGGGGAATCCCAGGAAGCCCCAGGATGCCTCAGGAGGCTCCAGGAGGATCCACGAGGCCCTGGGGAAGCCCCAGGAAGCCCCAGGATGTCCCAGGAGACCCTGGGAGGCCCCAGGGGGCCCTAGGCGCTCGACGAATTGGCGAGCGAAAAATCTGCGCCGCGCCTTAGCGGGAGCGCAACTTTCAGAAAACATGCGCGCGGCGCCGAAGCGAGAGCGGCATTTCGCCCTGTCGCGCGCGATGTGCACCGCGCCCCCTTCCTGCCGCGCATGTTTCGCAAAGCCGACGACAAGAAAATCCCCACTGAGAAGAAACATGTCGACTTTGTATGGTTGTTGACAGGTAGGATGGCCCCTCCCGCTTGGGGTTGCCCCAGACGTGCGCACGCGATGTGCGCCGCGTCCCATTGCTGCTACGCATTTCGCATCGTCAACGACAAGAAAGGCCATGTTGAGAGAAAAACGACGACTCTGTATAGATGTTTTACAAGTCGGATGGGAGGGCCCAGATTGACGGCCGCACGCGATGTGCGCCGCGTCCTATTCCTGCTACGCATTTCGCATCGTCGACGACAAGAAGGCCATGTTGAGAGAAACAACGGCGACTTTGTATTGTTGTTCAAATTAGGATGGGAGGGCACTGATGGAACCCCTATCGGCCAGCCAGAGGGGGGAGTAATAGTGTATTATGATAAGGAATAAGGGGGTCGAGTAGCATAGAATAGAGTAGATTCGGGTAGGATCGAGTAGGGCAGGTGGTAAAGTAGAGTCGGGCATCGGTGTCACCTGAGATCCTGGCATTGCATTTTTGTTCACGCCCGCCGTGTTCGCCTGGCCTTCCAGGCCCTGGGGCCCTCACGGATCGCTCCGGCTCGAGGCAGGGCGCAGAAGAACGGTGTCCTGGGTTCTGGTCGTGATCGTTTGCGATACTGCATTCTCTTTTTGGCAACGTCGGATCTCGGGGGAGATCAGTGTCAAGACGCTGCAACGAGGGCCGCTTGGGGCTCAGAGCGGGCTCTGGCTTCCGGGCCGTCCCTTGGTCGGGGAGCAGTGGCCGAGCCGAGCCGCGGGCAGAAGGGTCTCTTCGTTCCTCACATTGTTCAGCGCCCCTTGTGGTAGCACGCCAGCTGCATCGGTGACACACGCGCCTTCTCCCGAACTGTGCATACCGATCGCTCTGCTGCACGACTGCCCGACGCCGCTTCGACGGCTCGGCTGCGCGCGAGAGTGACCCCCGGCAGGGGTGACACCTGCTGCGCGGCGTGCCGAGCGCTGCTTGCGACGCGGCCCGTGGAGGCCTGCGCGCTCGGACGTGGCCCCGCGGCGCCCGAGAGCCGAGCACCAACGGCCACTCCGGCGAAGGGTCGCCCCGTACTGGAGAGCAGAAAGTCCCCCCCCAGAATAAGCACCCCGACAAGCGAAGCCGTTTAGCAAACGCGCCCAAGGAAGGAATCGGACAGGGCAGGACTGTTGAGTACATGTGCGTGGTCCGTAAGCCTCCTGGGAGCTCCCAAGGCCAGAGCCGCCAGGACGCCGCACGACACGCGAGATATGCAAGGTTTACCCTGTCAGCCCACAGGAGGTTCAGCGCACAGCGCCTCGTAAACCAGGGTAGGGTTTTTTTTTCACCCCCCTGAGTAAAGGCCCAGGGCCGTTTAGTAAACCCCAGTTGTCGGGGTCGGGGTGGGTTTCCTCTCCTGACTTACGTGCAGCCGAGCAGGACATAGCACGCTGACAAGAGGTCGTTCGTCCGGCGTGGTTCTGCCCTCCGAGCGCCGCAGCAGCTGCCCCAGCAGCGCCAGCAGCCCCGCGCGCAGCGCGAGCGGCGCGGGCGGGCCAGCGGTGCCGCTGGGCTGCAGCGTGTGCAGCACCAGCCTGAGCAGCTGGGAGTTCACGACGAGGTCCGCCACGTGCATGTGCGCGCAGACGTGCTCGAGGTACCTCACGGTCCCCAGCCTCTGCTCCAGGGGCCCCTGCGACAGGCACCTGGACGACGAAACAAAGTAGATCTCCGGCGAGAGGACATACCGACCTTCTGCCGCGGCTTACGTGGGCGGCCAGCGTGGCCCTCCGCGAGGATAAGAGGGCGTCTACGCGCGACCTTGCGCGGGAAGCTTACGCGCGAATGTCACTGATATCATGGTAGATGCATTGTATGCAAGTATACATTTATACACATCGATCTATACCCTATATATATATATATATATATATATATATATATATACACAGGGGGGTGGCCCGGTTGGTTCTCCATTCGGCCTGAAGACGAAGACGCTATTTGAAGACTCTATTGGCCAAGTAGGTTGGCTTGACGCCTCTATTCGCCTGACGCCCGATGACGCCTGTGACGCCTCTATTCCGCCTGACGCCTCTACTGGCCTGACGCCCGATGACGCCTCTGACGCCTCTATTCCGTCTGACGCCTCTATTCGCCCGGCGCCCTACTTGCCCTGTCGCCCCTATGGGCCAGACGACCGCTGACACCCGTGACGCCTGTATTCGGTCTGACGCCTCTATTCGCCTGACGCCCGCTGACGCCCCTGACGCCTCTATTCTGCCTGACGCCTCTATTCGCCTGACGACCGATGACGCCCGTGACGCCTCTATTCCTCTGACGCCTCTATTCGCCTGACGCCCGATGACGCCTGTGACGCCTCTATTCTGCCTGACGCCTCTATTGGCCTGACGCCCGATGACGCCTCTAACGCTTCTATTCGGGCCGACGCCTCGACTGGCCTGACGCGGCCCAGTTTCCCTAAGGTTGACAATGCGGGCCAAATTCCACACCAGGGACTGTCCGCCGCGGACGGGGCCGTCGGGGAGCCCCCAACGGACCCTGTCCGCGGCGGGGCGTCTCTCGTGGCGAATCTGGCCCCGATTCCCCACAGGAGACCATCCGCCGCTGACGGGGCCCTCGGGGAGCCCTCCAACGGGCCTTGTCCGCGGCGGGGTGTCTCCCGTGGAGAATCTGGCCTCGATTCCCCACGGGAGACCATCCGCCGTGGACGGGGGCCTCGGGGCTCTCCGGGAACCACCCCAGATGCTCTGCCCGCGGCGGGGGGTCTCCCGTGGAGAATCTGGCCCCGATTCCCTACGGGAGACCATCCGTCGCGGACGGAGGCTTCGGGGCCGTCGGGGAGCCACGTCAAATGCTCCGTCCGCGGCGGGTGGTCTCCCGTGGAGAATCTGGCCCCGATTCCCCACGGGAGACCATCCGCCGCGGACGGGGGCCTCGGGGCTCTCGGGGAGCCACCCCAAATGCTCCGTCCGCGGTGGGGGGTCTCCCGTAGAGAATCTGGCCCCCGATTCCCCACGGGAGACCATCCGCCGCGGGCGGGGGCCTCGCGGCCCTCGGGGAGCCACCCCAGATGCTCTGTCCGCGGCGGGGTGTCTCCCGTGGAGAATCTAGCCTCGATTCCCTACGGGAGACCATCCGTCGCGGACGGGGCCCTCGCGGCCCTCGGGAAGCCACCCCAAATGCTCTGTCCGCGGCGGGGGGTCTCCCGTGGAGAATCTGGCCCCGATTCCCCACGGGAGACCATCCGCCGCGGACGGAGGCCTCGGGGCTCTCGGGGAGCCACCCCAAATGCTCTGTCCGCGGCAGGGGGTCCCCCGTGGAGAATCTAGCCCCGATTCTCTACGGGAGACCATCCGCCGCGGACGGGGCGTTTATTGCCGCCCCCCCCTGGCGGTGCCCCTGGGCCCGACGCCATGCCAAACGGGATCTCCTCAGAGAGGCCCCAAGGGGCCCGACGCCATGCCGAACGGGACCTCCCGGGGCGGCTCTAGGGCGCCCGACGCCATGCCAAACTGGACTTCCCGGGACCAAGTTTTCGAAACGTGACCCGTGACACCATGCCAAACGGGACCTCCGGGGGAGGCGCCCATGGGCCCGACGCCATGCCAAACGGGACCACCGGCGAGAAGCGCACATGGGCCCGACACCATGCCAAACGGGACCTCCCCGCCGCGGACGGAGCCCTCGGGGCCTTCGGGGAGCCCCCCAACGGGCCCTGTCCGCGGCGGGGGGTCTCCCGTGGAGAATCCGGCCCCGATTCCCCACGGGAGATCATCCGCCGCGGACGGGGCCCTCGGGGAGCCCCCCAACGGGCCCTGTCCGCGGCGGGGTGTCTCCCGTGGCGAATCTGGCCCTGATTCCCTACGGGAGATCATCAGCCGCGGACGGGGGCCTCGGGGAGCTCCCCAACGGGCTTTGTCCGCGGCGGGTGTCTCCCGCGGAGAATCTGGCCCCCGATTCCTCGCGGGAGACCATCCGCCACGGACGGTGCCTTCGGGGGGTCCCCAACGGACCCTGTCCGCGGCGGGGTGTCTCCCGTGGAGAATCCGGCCCCGATTCCCCACGTGAGACCATCCGCCGCGGACGGGGCTCTCGGGGAGCCCCCCAACGGACCCTGTCCGCGGCGGGGTGTCTCCCGCGGGGAATCCGGCCCCGATTCCCCGCGGGAGACCATCCGCCGCGGACGGGGCCCTCGGGGGGGCCCCCAACGGGCCCTGTCCGCGGCGGCGCGTCTCTCGTGGAGAATATGGCCTCGATTTCCCCACGGGAAGCCCTTCGCTGCGGACGGGGCCCCCAGGGGGCCTCCCACGGGCCCCGTCCGCTGACCCCGAAGGACGACGACTTCGACGACGACGACAACGACGACAACGACCACGACGAAAACGACGGTTGCGGCGGCGGCGAAGACGAACACGAAGACGACGACGAATACGACGACGACGATCACGGCGGGGGGCTCGGGGCAGAGAGGGGCGGCCCCTTTGAGGTGCGAGCACCGCCGCCGACGACGACGACGGCGACGACGATGACGGGGGCCTCGGGGCACAGAGGGGCCACCCCTCTCTACCCCGAGACCCCCGCCGCTACAACGACGACGGCGACGGCGACGACGACGACGACGGCGGCGGCGGCGGCGGCGACGACGACGACGATGACGGCGGGGGCTTGGGACAGAGGGGGGTGGCCCCTTTGAGGTGCGAGCGCCGCCGCCGCCGCCGCCGACGACGACGACGACGACGGCGACGACGACGATTTTCGAGGATGACGGCGGGGGGCTCTGGGTAGAGAGGGACCACCCCTCTACCCCGAAAGAGAGACTATGGGTCGTAGGCCGAGAAGTCGCCCCCTCCGGACCCATCCTGGAGCGCCTCCTGATAAGGACTCCGAGGCAAATCCAACCGTGGCGAAGAGAGCCACCCCGCCGCGGACGGAGCCCTCGGGGCCGTCGGGGAGCCACCCCAAATGCTCTGTCCGCGCCAGGGTGTCTCCCGTGGAGAATATGGCCCCGATTCCCCACGGGAGACCATCCGCCGCGGACGGGGCCCTCGGGGCTCTCGGGGAGCCACCCCAAATGCTCCGTCCGCGGCGGGGGGGGTCCCGTGGAGAATCTGGCCCCCGATTCCCTACGGGAGACCATCCGCCGCGGGCGGGGGCCTCGCGGCCCTCGGGGAGCCACCCCAGATGCCCTGTCCGCGGCGGGGTGTCTCCCGTGGAGAATATGGCCCCGATTCTCTACGGGAGATCATCCGTCGCGGACGGGGGCCCTCGCGGCCCTCGGGGAGCCACCCCAAATGCTCTGTCCGCGGCGGGGGGTCTCCCGTGGAGAATCTGGCCCTGATTCCCCACGGGAGACCATCCGCCGCGGACGGAGGCCTCGGGGCTCTCGGGGAGCCACCCCACATGCTCTGTCCGCGGCAAGAGGTCTCCCGTGGAGAATATAACCCCGGTTCTCTACGGGAGACCATCCGCCGCGGACGGTGCGTTTATTGCCGCCCTCCCCCGGCGGCGCCCCCTGGGCCCGACGCCATGCCAAACGGGATCTCCTGAGAGAGGCCCCAAGGGGCCCGACGCCATGCCAAACGGGACCTCCCGGGGCGGGTTTTCGGGGGCCCGACACCATGCCAAGCGGGGCCTCCCGGGACCAAGTCTTCGGAACGCGACCCGTGACACCATGCCAAACGGGACCTCCGGGGGAGGCGCCCATGGGCCCGACACCCATATGCCAAACGGGGCCACCGGCGAGAAGCGCCCGTGGGCCCGACACCATGCCAAACGGGACCTCCCCGCCGCGGACGGAGCCCTCGGGGCCTTCGGGGAGCTCCCAACGAACGGGCCGTGTCCGCGGCTGGGGGTCTCCCGTGGAGAACCCGGCCCCGATTCCCCACGGGAGATCATCCGCCGCGGACGGGGCCCTTGGGGAGCCCCCCAACGGGCCCTGTCCGCGGCGGGGTGTCTCCCTTGGCGAATCTGGCCCCGATTCCCTACGGGAGATCATCCGCCGCGGACGGGGACCTCGGAGAGCTCCCCAACGGGCTTTGTCCGCGGCGGGTGTCTCCCGTGGAGAATCCGGCCCCGATTCCCCGCGGGAGACCATCCGCCGCGAACGGGGCACTCGGGGGGCCCCCCAACGGACCCTGTCCGCGGCGGGGTGTCTCCCGTGGAGAATCCGGCCCCGATTCCCCACGGGAGACCATCCGCCGCGGACGGGGCCCTCGGGGGGCCCCCCAACGGACCCTGTCCGCGGCGAGGTGTCTCCCGTGGAGAATCCGGCTCCGATTCCCCACGGGGGGCCATCCGCCGCGGACGGGGCCCTCGGGGAGCCTCCCAACGGGCCCTGTCCGCGGCGGCGTGTCTCTCGTGGAGAATATGGCCTCGATTCCCCGCAGGAAGCCCTTCGCTGCGGACGGGGCCACCGGGGGGCCCCCCACGGGCCCCGTCCGCTGACCCCGAAGGACGACGACTTCGACGACGACGACAACGACGACAACGACCACGACGAAAACGACGGTTGCGGCGGCGGCGAAGACGAATACGAAGACGACGACGAATACGACGACGACGATCACGGCGGGGGGCTCGGGGCAGAGAGGGGTGGCCCCTTTGAGGTGCGAGCGCCGCCGCCGACGACGACGACGGCGACGGCGATGACGGGGGCCTCGGGGCACAGAGGGGCCACCCCTCTCTA